TGAGCTGAAAAGCTTACAGCACCTGGTATTCCCAGGCGGTCTCCCATCCAAGTACTAACCAGGCCCGACCCTGCTTAGCTTCCGAGATCAGACGAGATCGGGCGTTCTCAGAGTGGTATGGCCGTAGGCGAAAGCTGACCTCCAATACAGCCCCATTATAGCTTCTATCCACTCTATAAACCATTAAACTTATTTTTTTTAAGTTTTCTTCCTTGAACCTTGACAAAATTAGCTTTCCAAGCTGTTTACAATGGACTATTACATTAATAGCTGAGCTGAAAAGCTTACAGCACCTGGTATTCCCAGGCGGTCTCCCATCCAAGTACTAACCAGGCCCGACCCTGCTTAGCTTCCGAGATCAGACGAGATCGGGCGTTCTCAGAGTGGTATGGCCGTAGGCGAAAGCCGGTCTCCAGTACAGCCCCATTATAGCTTTTATCCACTCTAAAAACCATTTTAGTTATTTTTTTTAAGTTTTCTTCCTTGAACCTTGACAAAATTAGCTTTCCAAGCTGTTTACAATGGACTATTACATTAAAAGCTGAGCTGAAAAGCTTACAGCACCTGGTATTCCCAGGCGGTCTCCCATCCAAGTACTAACCAGGACCGACCCTGCTTAGCTTCCGAGATCAGATGAGATCGGGCGTTCTCAGAGTGGTATGGCCGTAGGTGAAAGCTGACCTCCAATACAGCCCCATTACAGCTTCTATCCACTCTATAAGGACAATCAAAAAACCATCCTGACAAAGTGCTGTTATTACGTTTTCACAGTGATAAATGGGAAGATAAACTCAAAACCTACCCCAGAAACACATCACGAATCCCACCCACAACCCGATCAGTACATACAGATTACCAATAGCATCGTTCAGAAATTTCCACCCCACAGTGAGGTCCCAGGTCTCCTCCAATGAAATAAGTATGTCATTATAGACGTATGTCGATATAGGAGTTATCAGTTTTACGTCACTGATTAGCTCTCAGGATCACACAGGATCGCATAAGTTAGAGAAATATCAGTCGATCGCATATGTGGGCTGAAAATCTTCTGATTATAATACATAGGCGATCGATTCTTCAATCTCAATATGTCATATTATAAAACGGATAGTTCCGGTCCTAAAAAGGAGTATATTCTTGACTCTGCGCCCCAGATAAATACAGATAATCAGGACTACTAGTTTGTAAGTCATTCCAATTCATTCACTGTCCTCATCCTCCTTAAAGAAACTTCTTTTAATTCCAACACAATCAATCGATAAAAACTATAACTTTGTACAAAATGCTTTGGGAAAAAAAGAGATCACCCATAATCAGCTAAGCTGGCTAATATATGTTTAGTCTGAAATTCTGCTGTCAACATTCTTTAGCCTTTGTTAAGGCTTGTGTTTAGGTGCCTGTTCAAAAATAAAGAGCTTTTGCCCAAAAAATATGCTATGTTTGAATATCCTCCATTCACCAGCATCACTGGCCTCAACTTTTGCCTTGACAGAGCATTGTTGAACTTGAGGTCAGTAGAGAGCACGACAAATAGCAATGACGTCTAATTATAGCTGTAAAAACGGCTTGTGAATAACTTCTTGTTACAGTACTAGGAGGATGTGGGTTAGCTAACTTTAACTACACTCAAGTCATCAAAAACACCCTGAAACATCAGGAAACAGTAGCCTCTGGCTGCGTCCCAAACTGTGCGCTGCCACACTGAATAGTATGTAAAAATAGTACACCACCAATTGAAGTGCTTACAGTAGTGCAAGTAGTATGTAAAGTTTCAAAGTGTGTTGTTTGGGACACAGCCTCACTGTCTTACATTAGTCTTGTCTTAGTCTTGTAATGCTAGAACTATCTCAGGGTTAAGGTTACCATTAATTGTTTCGTCATCTCATTTCAGCAAAATGCCACCAAAAATTATAAATAAAACCATCGCAGGACAGGCCAAGGTCAAATCCTATCCACATGATCATCCAAGGGGTCCCTGGGAATTGGAGTCCCTGCTGGAGGGATGCATGACAAGTAAGATTACAAAATTAATTTAATCACAATTTTAATGTGTTTTTAGAGTTTATTTTGGCAGCGCAAGGCAATTTTTGTTTGTTAGCACAATTCATGCACAAAGGCAATTCAATATGCTTTACGTAAATAAAACAAAGTAGGAACAAAAATAGAACATTAGAAGGAAAAATAAAAGGGAAAAACAATAAAAAAAACATGAAGGCTCCCTAAAATGTCAGCGCCGCTCCACTCCACCGTCAGTGAACTTGAGTGAGCATGTGAGGGCTATGTACACAGTTGTTCAGATGGACAGCTGATAGAAGCTGAAAGATCTGGGATGTTTTCAATAAAGTTACTAGCTGTGACTTGTGTGTTATAGTACGCATATGTAATGACTAAATTGGATTTCATATGAGTAAAGGTAATGATCTGAGACTGCTGTGCTCTGGAGGAGAATGGCTAAACTATTCAAAGATCTGCAATGTTTTCCCAAAGATATTTATGTCTATATTTTATGAGGCCACAGACTGCGGATCAGGCAAAACCAAAGAAAGCTGATAGGAAATGAAAGTTCAAGCAAGTATGCAAGCCTGTGTACTGTACTGCACAAGCGTGTGTACTGTACTAATGTTTCCTGTTATTGTTTACTTTCCTGCCTTGTTCTGTGCAAACGGGTCACTGATAACACAAATAATGTTGATGCTAGCTAGCTAATTTGTGGCAGTAGGACAGAAGTGAACACATCCAAGCATGTTTTTTGAATTTATGGAATAATGATTTGCAAGATCCACTATATGATCATTTATCTTCCTTTAAATAGTTTGCTTAGTTTCCAATTGCCATAGTTGATAAATGAATACACTACTGTAAAATAACAATGTTATTTTCATAGCATTATATTGCCTTATAGTATATTGTATTACGTTCATACTGACATCATTTTAGCCTATATCTCCTTTAGTCCTTTAGTTATATTGGGAAAATGATGTGTTTATGGGATGGGGATACACACACATATTGGGGTGGTGGTATCTAGACAACACTACATCATTGACTAATTTGAATATCTGATGCCTATGACACCTATGACCTATGTTTTACGATAGCTTTGTGATAAGATTTGGCCTTAAAACTTTTTTTTCTGTTCATGGGAGAGTATTACATGCAGGGTGTCATAAAGCTAAATAGACCCTGAAGACAGATTTAGCACTATTTTACTAATATCAGATCAACAAAGTAACACAAACGTGTTGGTGGAGTGTCAGTGTGTGTTGTGCTGATATGAGTGGATCACACACAGCAGTGCTGCTGGAGTTTTGCTGGACTGAGAATAGTCCATCTCCAGCAGCACTGCTGTGTCTGATCCGCTCGGACCAGCGCAACACACACTAACAAGACACAACCATGTCAGTGTCACTGCAGTATTCAGAATGATTTACCAGTCAAACTCAATCACTAAAGTGGTCTTATTAAAAAAATCTCAGAAAATCCTGGGCCAGAGAAAAAAATGTTTTTTATTTCATTTTTAATTCATGGTGTGCTGTAACCCGAACTGGCCATTGTTTATTCAAAGTACACAAAAACTAAAGCAGTAAAATACAGACACTTGTAGTAGACCTTGAAATATTACATATGTACTTGAAAAGCTACCTTTTAAAGCTACCTATTTGCCTAAACTAGACATCTGGCATCCTCACTTTGCTGCAAGTTCATTAACACTTAGGCTCAGTTTCTGAGCTGCTGACCTGACGTTAGGTGTTAATATTGGTAGAACTGCAGCTGAAATGCAGTTAGTGCATTTGGTGATATGACTAGTGTGGAATTGTGTAGAACTGAGGTGTAACCGCTGTCCCATAGATTGTTGTAGGGGTAGAGCGCACGTTGTAGTCAGAGTGCACATGATGTTGCAGTGCTGGGGACTGTAGTGCAGTACATTGGAAACGGGCTAATATTAATAGAAAATTAAAATACTTTTGCAGGCCAGGTAGGATTGTGTTGTGGCCCTGATCTGGCCCGCGGGCCTTGTGTTTGAAACATGGGACTTAAATCATGCCTGCTCTGTGGTGGTCCTGTGGAGGTCCTGACGTTTGAAGAACAGGGTGAATAGGGCCTAACAAAGTAAGCAGAGAAACAGATGGACTACAGTCTGTAATAGTAGAACTACAAGGTGCACCTATATGGTAAGTGGACCTGAAAAACTTACCATTATCTTACCACCATTTTGGATAGTACATAAAATGACTAGATTTGTGTTGTAGACATCACAACCCCTGGAAGAAATCTGACTCAGTAAGTTTCTCTAGAACAGAGCATTTCACACTCAACTCTAAAATGACTTTCTTTAAAGACTTTAATTCTGCAATTGGCTAATGTTATTTGGAACAAATTCAAATGGCTGAGGTTGGAGAGTGAAAGTTAGTGGTTTTTATTTTGTTTTCTAAGGTTGTTTCTGTAGCAAAATAGTCAGTTTACAATGTGAATGGTTTAATTCAGATTTACACAGTCCAAGTTGGCACTTGGTTGGCCTTTTGCCTGTAACTTGCACCTATAAAATAGAAAGACTATGAAAAGCTTGGCAGGCTGCAAAGTGACCTTTGTTCACTCAAGTGCTTTAAAAAGAGGCACCAGTAGACATTTGACAGGCTGGACATTGGAACAGCAGTTAATATGCAAGAACAAGCAAAACGTTACATTATACAGAGGATTTCTAATTAATAATTTACAGAGCAAATCTTCACTCAAGTGTTTTATCAAGAGGCATCAAAATGCATTTGATAGGCAGAACAGCCAATAATATGCAAGAACAAATGAAAGGGATTAAACAAAGTCATTAAATAAAGGATATCTGATGAATCATTTGCAGAACAAGTCTGGTTGATTGTATAACCGTTATCAGCTTCTCTTATCGCTGTTATATTAGCACCAACAAAGGCTTAACTGCCGTAAGGTGAAATATTGTCCCATTTTATTTGGGGACTTAACCCATAAATATGGGTAAAGTGTTTTCCAACCAACTAAAGGCTAACATGAATGTATGTTCAAGTCAGCAATTAGCATGCTATCAGCATAGGGCAAAACCAATGTGCCTAAGCCAGGATTTGTAAATCATTTGTGTTTCAGTGTGAGCATGCTTATACTGGATCAGCTGAGAATGACAGTGCACATGCAGTTCACTGCAGATATTAATAACTATGAAAGACTACGAGAAAACGACAGCATTCTTGGGCCAGTGGTGAACGTTTCAAAAAATCGTCTTCTTTCTGCTGTGTGCCAGCACAGTTCCGAATGGATTCAGTGCTTTCTCTGTTATATTCCTGGCTGATATTCCAGCCCACCACTGCCAAATACCAAGCATGAATCTGAGTGAAGACTGGATCAGGGCAAGCATTCCTACAAAGGCGGTGAATGGAAAGCTAGAGCTGAGTAAGTGCAGGAGATACAAGCTGGACATAATACGAAACCTTTCTTCTCTAGGCTACAATCCTGAAGACGTAAACCTCACTGACATTGAACAGGAGAAATGCGTAGATGGATGGACGTACAGTAAAGACATCTACCAGTCCACAATTGTTACTGAGGTGAGTCCTCAAGTGTTCACCTAAAGTTTGTCAAATGCTTACAATTTAAAGTGATAGTTCAGCAAAGTTTTCTGTAGTTTTACTACTAACTAAGCTAAGAAAGGAAATAACTGAAGCTCATATTCACCAGGTTAGTACATTGCAAATTGGATATCAATGCTGTCATAACAAAACCTTGTATCTCCAAAATGGTAACTTTACAGAAAGGAAAAACATACTTTACTTTTGATGTAAGTCAATGGAAGCAGACTTTTTTTCAAGGGATTTTGGGGCATTTCTTTTGGTCCATTCATCATGAAATTTACAAACAATGTAAGGGGCAACCGGCATTTTTAAATTATGTCAAACAAGGTTTTGTTCCGACAGCAGTAATATGCTTAAATAATACTTACTGAGTTGTTAAGTAATCTTAAACAGACTGGCTTATGTGGTTGATAACAGATGACATACTGTTACCTGTAAAATGGATAACAGTATGTCACATAGTTGTCTATTTTTATACTGCAATAAATCGCATGTCTATTTGAGATTACCAAACAGTTGAGGACAGTTTTAGGCAAGTATATGATGATTTAGGCATGCAGTTTGCACAGTGCCAACTGTTGGGTAATAAGCTTGCATTACTTGGTAGCTATATTACCCTTATAGCTCTAATGCAAACTGAAGAAGCAAACATATCTTTTGCCAAACTATTGCTTTAAGACACACCTATATGCAAATAGTGGTTCAATATTGCCAGAAATAGTGAGACGTTATAGTCTAAGCATATCTTAAATCAAAACCAGTTCATATTCATGTATACACAGTCTTGCACAAACATTTGAATACCCCCATCAAATACATGTGTTGTTGATTTTCTAAATAGAAAAAAATGTTATTTTCTGCACATTTTATTGCACAATTTCTATTTATTTGGAAAAATTCCTAAAATATAAAATGTGCCATATCAAAAATATGACTGATTTAGCAAATGCACAGCAATTGTGCATAAAGAAAGTACAGTAGTGTGTTCTCTGAAGGGAATGTGTATTTATTTTCACTTAAAAAAAATCAACAAAACATTTAATTTGATCAGGGGCGCCCAGACTTCTGCATATGACTGAGTACCATACACTACATTGAAACTGATGTTGGTCGATTCAATTGTAGTTTGACCTTGTTTGTGACGATGAATGGAAACAACCCTTCACCTCTTCCATCTACTTCATTGGTGTGCTCTGCGGATCATTCTTTTCTGGACAGATCTCTGACCGGTAGGACTGGTCACAACATCACTATCCTCCATATGAATTACAGTGTTTTTTATTCTTATTCTAAACTATGTTTTTAGTGTTTGAAACGTCTCTTTTGTATTAAGGTTTGGGAGAAAGCCTGTCCTTTTCGTAACCATGATGGTCCAAACATTCTTCACCTTTATTCAAGTCTTTGCGCCATCTTGGGAAGTATTCTCTGTTCTCTTCTTCATTGTTGGACTGGGGCAGATTTCCAACTACGTGGCAGCATTTGTGTTAGGTAATTAAACAAAAAAGAATCATACACCAAAGCTTCACCATCAGACTCACTTTTTACAATATACTTTTAGCTAAAACTTCAATGCTGTTTGGTGTTTTTACTTTCAACAGGTACAGAAATCCTTTCTGAGGGCGTAAGGGTCCTTTACTCATCACTGGGAGTGTGTTTTTTCTTCGCCATTGGCTACATGATGTTGCCACTGATGGCATTCCTAATACGAAGTTGGAGGATGCTTTTAGTTGCACTGTCTGTACCTGGCCTTATCTACATCCCCCTCTGGTGGTAGGTGTGAGTAACTGACATTACTGCTAACATTGTAGATGAACTCTAAGGGTCAGTTTCCTGGACAAGGATGGAGCATAGTCCTGGTCTGGAATACAGTTGCTTTCACTGAAGAATCTCCATTCAGAATGTAGTTCTGTGTAGTCTAAGACTAGGCTTAATCCGTGTCCAGGAAACTTACCCTAAGGGCCAGATGTACTAAGCCTTTTCACCAAGTTTCTTTCCAAGAATGGAAAAGAGTAATTAATGTATGTATCAGATGTACAAGCCTAAAAATGTGGTTTATACTCTTCCCAATCTAAATTCAAGGGCTGAACGATTTGGGGAAAGAAATCTAGATTTTACCCGGCTATGAAAATGAACATATCCACTTTTCTGGCTTGAAGTTTGAGTGCTGCACGTAGCATGCCAGACCTAAACTTAGGAGTGGTTATATTTTCCTGCAAACAGCACATGCAGGGGTTATTGGTAACGTAGGTTACAATAAGAATTGAAGCTCTTGCTATTTGGAAACCACACTCTTTAAAATTGCAAATTTGGTATATAAACACTTAATCTGTCAGTCCTACTAAATGCATAAAAAACACAATTGTGAAAAGAGGCTGTGTCAAACAAGGCAGATTTATTTTGGACCACAAAGTGTAAGAGCTAACATCAGAAAACTACATTTTGAAAATTTTTATTTACATGACATCTATAGTACATTTTTTTATCTGTGCATAAAACTTCCAAAAAATACTGATTTATATTTATATGGGGAGATATTGACTTCTCTCATATTTTTTGGGAGGTTAAATTTTTGCTACAAAAACACTATTTAGGGTGAATTATAAGAAATACACTATATGACCAAAAGTATGTGGACACCTGACCTTCACACCTGTATGAGCCTGTTGGACATCCTATTCCACACCTATAGCCATTAATATGAATCTGGTCTCTGGAAGCATAAAATTGGCACTGTGCATTCCTGTAGGTAATGTTCTGGCATCTGCCAAACCACATAAGACTGTGAGATAGTGAAGTGTGATTCATCACTTGAGAGAATACATTTCCACTGCTCCAGCGTCCAGTCCCAGTGTGCTTTACACCACTCCAGCTGATGCTTGCGTGCAGATACTCGGCCATAGAATCCCATTTCTTGAAGCTTCTGATGCATGGTTTTTGTGCTGATGTCTAGAGGTATAGTAAGTGAAGCAACAGATAGGAAATTTTTTGTGCTGCACACTTCAGCACTTGGCAGCCCAGCTCTGTCAGTTTTCATGGTCTACTGCTTTGTGGCTGAGCTGTTGTTGTTCCTAGGCACTTCCATTTCACAATAATAGCACTTACAGTTGTTTGGGGCTGATCTAGCTGGGCAGAAATTTCACAAATTGACTGGTGGCATCCTATGACAGTAGCATGTTTAAGTTACTGAGCTCTTTAGTACAACCCATTCTACTGCCAGTGTTTGTCTATGGAGATTGCTCGATTTCATACACCTGTTAGCAATACATGTGGCTGAAACACCTGAACTCAATAATTAGGAGGGGTATCCACAAACCTTTGGCTATGTAGTGTATCTTTTTGACCGCTGTTGCTATGGGAATATCAGAAGATGACCAAAAGCATGTTCTACAAGTCCATGTTATATTTTACCCCACATTAGTTCCATGCTGTCCTCTACATCCCTGTAGAGTGTTTTGGTGGAATAAGACTTAACATTAACACTTATTAAAAGCACTGTCTGTTGACACTTCCACTGTTTCACTGTTTTTTAAACCCTGAGTCTCACAAGCATAGCAAATTTAACAGGTGGTCTTATGCACATTAGCAACAGTATGATTAGCTACAGCCTTATAATTTGAATGTTAATTTTAGATGCACTCACTATGTAGATACTACATAGTGACTATGTATCTTGCACGTATGTTCATGTAGCCCTAAGTGTTATCTAAATGAAGTTAATTCTTTCTTTTTTTGACTACATGCTGACTACATGCCACGCTTTGTATAATGGGCCCAACCATATTTTAAATCAACACGTTATTCCAGGTTCATTCCAGAGTCTCCTCGATGGCTGATCTCTCAGGGGAAAGTAGAAGAAGCTGAGGCCATAGTGAAAAATGCTGCTAAGAAAAACAAAGTCACACCTCCTGACATCATTTTCAGTGAGATTGGGGTAAATAAATTTATAGGAGCGCTGTACTTCTTAAAAAGTGAACATAAAAGATTGCAATGTAAGAAAAAAAATAGATACAAATCTGAAAATATATTTCTGAGCAACACTCAATAAAGTTTGGAACTGAAACTACGTTATGTTTTACAGGAAGAGGAGAGAAACACTAAACCAAAAGAATCAAACAATGTTTTGGATCTCATGAGGACCAGCAACATTCGGCGAACTACTTTGATATTGTTTCTAGTGTGGTGAGCACCTCAAGTGTACCAATACTGGACCATTCTAAACTTACACGCTTGAAGGAATTCCACTGTTTTCTTTTTCTAAATGTCTATAATTAAGTCACTGAGATGTAAAAAAAAAAGTCATTCAGAATATGAAATGCTGCATTATATCGAAACCAATTTGGACTTGGATTGCTAGACTTGGAGTGGTGGTAATACGAACCAGGGGTTGCAAGGTCTACAAGACAAATATGGCCATTTTATTTACTATCCAAAATGATTACACTATTGCTGACTATGCTATGAGTTTTTATATGTAATGTTGGTAATAGAAGTTGAATGTAAGTTTTCTTTGAGGATTCTTTTTACTATTTTTTACTATTAAGTACACCTACCTTGTATCAACATGTTTTGTCAAGTCCATTTATCATATAGGTGCACTTTGTAGTTCTACAATCACAGACTGGTCCATCTGTTTCTCTGCATACTTTGTTAGTCACCTTGTTCTTTAGTAGTCAGGACACCCACAGGACCACCACAGAGCAGGTATTATTTGGGTAGTGGATCATTCTCAGCACTGCAGTGACACTGACATATTGGTGGTGTGTTAGTGTGTGTTGTGCTGGTACAAGTGGATCAGACACAGCAGTGCTGGTGGCGCTTTTAAACAAAGAGTGCTGTTGGTGGACTATTCTCAGTCCAGCAGTGACACTGAAGTGTTTAAAAACTCCAGCAGCACTGCTGTGTCTGATCCACTCAGACTAGCGCAACACACACTAACACGCCACCACTACGTCAGTGTCACTGCAGTGCTGAGAACGATCCACCATCACCATCAAAGGTCAGGGTGAAAGGGGGCTAATAAAGTATGCAGAGAAACAGACGGATATCAGTCAATTTGATGAACTACAAAATGCACCTATATGATAAGTGGCGCTGAGAAAATGGACAAAGAGTGTAGATACAAGGAGGTGTACTTAATAAAGTGGCTGGTCATTGTATTTGTATCTCTCCGCGACAAAATCTTTTCGGCCAAAATCTTTTCTCAAAACTAGAGTAAAATAATGTCTCAGGCATCAGGCAGTGTATTCATAACAGTTGCATGTAATTACTTTCTGTGAGGTAGCTTTCAGAGGAATTAAACTCTTCAGAGGTCTGGTTCCTATTATCACCGCTGTGAACAATTCTGATAGTTCTCTAGAATAGAGCATTTCACATAAAACCACCCTGAATTACTTTGTTTACATTGTAACAAATCAATTATGCAGACATTTTGAAAATTTGCCCTTTATTTTATGTCATGAAGGGCCAGATAATGAGCTTACTTGATTACTTAAAGTAGTTTGAGTATATTAGAGCACAAGCAGATGTTTAGTATGATTTAACTGATCATTTTAATAGATAATAATAGAGATGCTCAATTTAGAGCATCTCTATTATGCAACATTTCAGTTTATTATATATTTAACTTTGGTAATAGCTATGTTTCCTCTGTTAAGGTTGACCCTCAGCATGGGCTACTTCGGCCTTTCTTTAAACACATCTCGCCTTCATGGAGATCCATTTGTAAACTGTTTCATTTCTGCTGCCATTGAGGTACCTGCCTACATCACTAGTTGGCTGTCTTTGCGCTACTTACCAAGGAGACTGTCTTGCTCAGCCAGCATGCTGCTAGGAGGAGGAGTGCTCTATTTCATTCAGTTAGTACCACCAAGTAAGAAAATGCTTGTTTATGGTACTCAGTTGACCTATTCATGCTTTGCCCACAAATGTATTCTTTTATGGAAACCATTGGGCAAGATTGGACAGGCTTTATAGGACATTTCCAAAAATTCTGAAAAGTACACTACATGGCCACAAGTATGTAGACACTCCTTCTAATTATAGAGTTCAGGTGTTCAGCCATACCCATTGCTAACAAGTGTGTAAAATCAAGCACATAGCCATGCAATCTCTATGGAATGCGTCATACTGAAAAGCTCAGTGACTCAGTGATGGCCGACTTTGCCACAAGTTACTTTGGCCCAATCACATTTCTTATTTTTACCCCTACCCCTTGTTTTTGAGTGTCTTCTTGCCCCTTGGAAATGAGTAACAAAAGGGTAGTGGTTGGAATCTTTCCCTTTGAAATGGGACCCTCAAATAAAAAAGAACATTACATCATTCACTTGCGCAGCCATCTTGCCAGTTTTTCTTTTTTTCTCGTTACACTCCATTTGGAGTGTGCCTCTGAAAAACCTCCATTTGAAGGACTATGCAGCCCTACCACTTCACCCCTGTATCTCAACAAAATTCGGGACACTCTACCCCTAGGTATGAACGCACAAAATGGATGGGTAGGGGGTGAAATGCCCTTTGTTTCTATGGCAGAGAAGCTGCACATAAGCCTAAGATGACTATGTGCAACGCCAAGTTTTGGCTGGAGAGGTGTAAAGCACACCACCATTGGACACTGAAGTGGTGGAAACGTGTTCTCTGGAGTGATGACTCACTCTTCACCATCTGGCAGTCTGACAGATGAATCTGGGTTTGCCAGATGCAAGGAGAACACTACCTACTAGAATGCATAGTGACATCAACAAAAGAAGAAGGCCCTTTCCTGTTCCACCACCCCTGTGCACAGAATGAAATCCATAAAGACATGATTTGACGAGTTTGGTGTGGAGGAACTCCAGTGGCCTACAGATTGCCCTGACCCCAATCCCACTAAACACCTTTGAAAGAGACTGGAAGGTAAATTGCAAGCCACATCTTTTCATCCAACATCAATGTCTGGCCTCATAAATGCTACTGTGACTGAATGGGCACACATTTCCACAGACACACATCAAAATCTTGTGGAAAACCTTTCCAGGAGAGTGTATTGGGACGAAAGGAAGGACCAACTCCAAATTAATGCCCATGGTTTTGGAATGGGATATCCAACAAACTCATATTGGTGTGACTGTCAGGCGCCCAAATACTTTTGACCATACAGAATATAGTGTGTAGAAATTAGTAGTTATATTTGTTTAGGGTCACTACATCACGCTGACTTTCCAGTTTAAAATGCTACACGACTGAGCTTGACTAAGGTTAAAGGCTAGAAATTACAAATTATTACAAAAACGGAGTCATAGTTTGTCATTTCAGTGTTTTGTAAAGCTGGTTTAACCTTCCAACAGTAATTGTGAAGAAGTACACTTGCGGGCAAAGCAAGAATGGGTGAATTACTGCCAAATCTACCTCAGATTTCAATAGGTTATTACCTAAATACCTGGGAATGTACAAATATCACATTTAATACACAGCTGTATGTTTTTCGTAGGTCTGCCCTCCTTGTCTGTAGCTCTTGAAATGGTGGGGAAGTTTGGGATAGCTATAGGAACAGCCCTGATGTTCACCTACACTGGGGAACTGTACCCGACAGTGCTGAGGAACACAGCAGTGGGGTCATGTGCTATGGTGTCTCGTGTGGGCAGTGCAATTGCCCCTTACTTTATTCATTTGAGTAAGTGGTCATCATTGCAAATCTGTTTGCTTTTCCTGGTTTACATTCAGTAAATACCCAAAACTGTACAAAGAAGTGTATTTTAACTTTAGAAAAGTTAGTTGCAGGGTTTCTTAAAAATTTTAGTTAATTGAACTTCAAATAAGTTGACAGTGTGCAAGACACAGATTCTCATTCTGTTAACTTAGAGGTTTAATTAGCTTAAGTATTTAAGGCAGCCTGATAACTAAATGAAACTAGAAATTTAAAAGCATTTTTACAGTGTATATTCAATCCAGTGTCCAAGTCATATACCTTTCTGTCTTTCTCTACAGATGTGATTCATCAACACTTGCCCTACATACTTTTGGGTACCCTGTGCCTTTTGTCATCGACAACCACACTGTTCCTGCCAGAGAGCTTTAACCGCCCACTTCCAGAGACAATAGAACAGATGCAAAAAAGGGACAGGTAAGTTAGTTTAGCTACTGATGCCAAACGATTTTGATATAATAATAATAGATCACAATTGTATTTGTAGACAGATAAGGTTTCCAATATTGCTTGGTTGCATAGGTTACAATATTGGGATTTCTAGTAGAGTTGTAAGGTTGTGATGTCACATATCCTGAAGCATGTAACAGTCACATATGAGCCGAAGACATACATGGTTGAGAATATGACATATGAAGTTTTCTGTTGTTTTGGTTTTTTTTTTTACAATTTTGCAAGGCACACAAAGCAACTCCTCAGACATTGTTTTAAATGTTTTTAATACTGACAGCTTAGAATAAAGCAAAAAACAGGCTGTTATCAGATAGAACAACACACATAAAACACTTTTCAACCTGATGGTCATAACTACAATTTATTTTCATTCTTGCACATTTTACCACGCATTGTCAGATTCTGATGAATTCACTGTTATACACGATAACACGACCTATTGCTTTTATACAACAGTTAAATAAATAAAGTAAGGAATAAATAAACTGGACTGTGAACGCGGCATTTAATATGTTTTAATGTTATCAATTCCTTCCACCAAATTATAGTTCCTTAACAAGTCACAGTAAGCTCCGCCCACTCTCTGCACAGCCGGCAGTTCATTCTGCAGCTCCTTACACTAAATTCCCAAACTATCATCATCACTGAGCAGCTTTTTTTTGTTTTGTTTTTTTTTGTTGCGGCAGTTTTATGGCTCAGTCTGACCAAATCAGCTGTCGGTCAAATGTGATCTTAAAAGTATTCATTTTTTGTTTGTGGCAAAGTAAGACGTAAAAACATTCAAATGGCTTGAGCGTCTCCTACAGCTGTCACACTCGTTGCTTAGCAACCGCGTCTCAGCAGAGTGATACAGTGTTTGTGAAAAACCCGTGATGTTATGGTGAAATATCAGCATGGTTAGAGCGCCTCTCAACCAATCAGCTTGCGTGGCCGGAACTAACTGTTGTATAAAGTGCTACAAAGCGCAGGTACATTCCAGTTAAGCTACTTTTTAAATTGTTTTAGAAACCTCACACAGGCCAATATCCTTTACATTCATAAGGTAATATATGTAATAAATGTCAGATTCATAATTTAATATGACCTTTTTTGGTCATGTTAAAAAAAAAAGACTGTTAGACAGAACTCGCATTTTCATGATTTTAGACAATTATTAATGTTTGACTCGTTCCATTAAAGACTCCTTTGTTTCACTTGACAACCACTTAATTCCATAAACTGTGACTCTTAACTAAGAAATAAAACACAGATGCCTTCTAATGGCTAATAGATGTAGCTTCATGCTGTATGAAAGAAAGGTTTGTTCAAAGTTTCTCACAGATCATATGCAAAGCTTTTGTAAGTTATAATCATTTATAAAATTATTCAAGGCCACATGTTAAAGTTTTTTTCCCTTTTCACCAACAGGATAAATTGCTCATGCTTCTCTAGAAAACATGAAGGAAAGGACCTATTCCAAGACACCACTTCCACCATCACCACCTCAGTTAAAATCCTTCAAGAGGAGAGATTCTGAGCCCTTGTTCAGTTAGGTAGGAAATTCAGAGGCAAGAAAATAAAGCAGATGGCAGTTCTTTGAGCAACTGATTAAACAAGTGGAATCAGGTGTGCTCCATCTCATTTGGAAGGAAAACTTGCAGACACACCGGGCCTTTGTGGATAAGATTGGACACCCCTGGTCTACATGAATAAATACCTGTGAATGTTAAACCATGCTACACACATTCAGACACCCATTAGACTGTAAATACCAAGTTCTTCTCTGGAATCTTTGTTATGCAGGTCTACTTTGTTGCAACCTAAAACATGTACCTTATGTTCCATGGCCTAATGTTAAATGTATATGTGACAAGTTTATAATAAAAGAATTTAACTTCAAACTTAACTCATTATTTATACAAGTAAGCCCGATAATATGGACACATGAGCACTCATATCACTGACTAATAAGTCAGACAAAAACACTAAATATGCATGACCTAAACATGCATGATATACTGTAAGTATGTGCTATAATATACTATTGTACTGTACTCTAATAAGCACTGAGTAATTAAAATTGGGCAAAATATATTGAAAAAAGTAGTGATACCCTGTCCTTAATATATTCAGTGATGTATTCCATTTCAATGCATAAAGTATTGTGTTCAGAATACATTTAGAATACATTTATAAAGACTAAAGTCTATGTAAGGCACTTAGGCAAAACTGCTGTAATTTTTATTTTGTTCACACTGTTCCTCACTGTTACTGGTTTGTTGTTTTCTTCATGCAATTCTTTTATCAATGTGTATCATGAAAAAATCACTTGTTTAAATGACGTTACAAAATTCTCAACATTATTTTGGCTCTCATCGCCAAGTCCAGTGCTGCTCCCATTATCCTGCTGCCATCTCATGAACTAAGCAAGCAGTTTGTCATATCTTATCAACAAAATCTTGCAAATCTGACTATAAAGTGGGTAGCTACATGATTTTCAGTGAATGACATGTATGCAATACCATGAAACGCATGCTTGAGTACTGTACGAGTCCAATACCGACGCTAAGCTTAACAATCATGAATCATGTCCACTACTGAGGAGACCGTTCAGTTCCATTATCCCTCAAAAGAGCTCAGTAATGCTGAGATAAATAACTGGCTCATCACAATGCTTTGTCAGTCTAATCAGCCTTTTACTTCAGTTTTATTTTTTACTAATTACAATAAAATACATCAAAATGATTGTCCATGATAAGTAACTGTATTCTTTTAAAGATCAGCACACTGGGGCACCGAAAACATTCTTTTATTTTTCGGTCTTAGGGCAACCACAGGGTTACTTTTATGTAATTTGCTTTGGACAGCTGGACTTTTATTTGTTAGTGATGCAGCTGGACACTCAACAGGACAGTAATAGCGCGGATGTTGCTGTATCTCACCAGATCAAAAGGGTTATGGGACTAGCCTGGTCCCCAGACTACAGAGCACACAGCAGTGAGCCTCAAAAACAAACACAGAAATACAAATAAACAGAGCTATAAACCACAACGACGACCACAGCTAAGAAAACACTACAGATAAACCCTAAATAGTGAAGCGTTGTTGGAATTTTTTCTAAAAGCATCATAACTAGAAAATATTCATTTTAATGTTCACTCTATACCTTGTTCATACTTAACAATGTCACAGCCTGTCTTATTAGTAGAAATCAAAGAGATATCTTCTATTAAATAAAGCCATGCCAGTGTGGATTTATTTAAATTATTGCATCTCAATGGGGATCCAACTCACTTTATTATGGCTTTAGCTACACAACGGTGCAAGGCATATAAAGAGTGTGACTGCAGAGAAAAGCAGGCAGCAGTTGCTCTCTGATTAACTACGCCTGCATACAGCTTACAGCAATATCCCTATGTATATGAATGTGTGAATATACGTAAATGTGAAAAATCCAGAGTGGGCTTATGAAGTCCATGTGTACCCTTTAAGCTAGTTATTTTATTTAAATTCAAATAAACAAATACAGTGTGATTTTTGTTTGTGTGTGTTGGCTGGACATCCATGTGGAGGATTTCCAAATCCCTCCACATGGATGTCCAGTATTTTCAGTTACTAGTCAATACCTGCTTTAGCTAACCTGTGTTCCTCTAACTGTGCTGTGATTCACAGAATGGTGCCAGATCATGGTGGTGTAATAATGACTTTAATGGCTTTGAACTCATTCCCCCCTGGCTGTGTCCTTCAGTATGGGCTATTTTACTCAACCCAGAGACAGCGACCACTGTGGAACGTCCGGAACAATGCCACAGTGCTAAAATGTAGACATCTGAAATGCACAGTTTAACCCCTTAATTGGCTAGGACCAACCAGCGGGACCACAACACATAACCTAAAATTTGCATGGTTGTCCATATAGTTACTGAATACTAAGCCTTAGTATAAACTAAGTCTGGGATTTTGAGGGGTGAACTGTCAAGATTGTTAAATAAATAAATAAACAAATAAAATCTTACTAGTGAGGAAGCTATTAAATAGCATTTATAGCATCAGCAGGTTAGTATTAAGCAAATACAGAGAGGAGGAACAAGTATTCAGACACTTTTGTTTTGGATATTTAATATACTTACAGTGCATATATCCACTTCAAATTTACACACATAATGTCTTTTTACTATGTACTTGTATATATGAACAAAAAGGTATGTATGCATAAGCAGAAACAAAGATATGTTAAAAAATTAAAATTGATTACCTCTTGCCAAAGCCACTGCTGGCGATTACAGCTTCAAGACATCTGAAGTAAGAAGGCCTTAACTTGCCAGTCTATGACTGTCAGAGTTACACTCTGTCGCATTAAGAGTAGCAAGTTTTCATGCGCTTGGCTGTATGGTATTAACATAATATATGCTACTTACCTACCACCAAAGCACGATGAAGAGGAAATGAGGTATAGTGAAGGCCATCAGTGGCATCCTCCATTCTCTTATGAACTAGGCCACAAGTGAAAGCTCCAGAAAATTCACTGTTCACTGAAAGAAAATGGCCTTACCATTGAGTATATAAAGTGCATAATCACCCAAATTAATTATTATTCCCTGTTAGGGAAAAGAGTAGGGGCACCTAGGGGCAACTCCTGCTACTTCTGTAAAACCACCACCCAAACACTGAACACTGAACACTTGAATACTGAGCTGATAGAGTCAAAAATTATTGTCTCTTGGTTACAACATATTTGCCTATTGCAAATCAAGAGTGAAAAATATACTAAAGTCTTAGAAAGAGACTGTAAGTGTTCAGAGCCTGCCCCACTCCAGCTATCACAAAGAAAAAAAAAAAGACAACAAATCTGGTTTGTTAGATCAGGTTTGTTAGATCAGTCAGGCAAACTCTTGCACTCCATGAAGACTACAAGCTGTCATCCAAAAGAAGAGATATGCAGTAAAACACTGATATAAAATACAAAATACTGACCCACGGAAAGAAAAGAGATACTAATGTTTATCACGCTAATGTTTGCGTACTTTTACTACTTTGCTTAAGTTTTCAAATAATCACAGGCATAACTTTGAGCTTCAGTTAGTAAACCCGGTCGTTATTGTTGCTTGTCATAACTTTTCTGATGGATACAGAAGAATAAATAACATTAAGTTGGAAAGTATAAATAAACAAGACATAAATTGTATTTAGAGAGTGTCCCAAGAGTCTACATGATACATATGACGCATATGAAGGTTGGAGGTAGGGGTAGATACTATTTAAGACCCTAAAATCTAGATAATTAGTTTTAAGATTTTTGTAAGGGAATTGGTGTGATATCACACATTAACACATGCTGTGTACTAATACAACATGACTTTGATCATTCAGCAGCGGATGCTTAACTGCATCAGTAATCTTGCAGAGGTATGCTGGAACCACTCTTCCCTTCATCTTTGAAGTGATTTGATTCAGATTGGTTCAGTTGCGGAAAAGGGGTTTGTTTCTAGCTGTCACTGTTGATTAGATTAGTAATCTAGAAATTTACTGATCACTTTGATAATTAATTGAGCAACAAAAATTAACTTTACTGAACAATGACAAAACACACACTGCCTTTCAAAGATACACTACTGGAAAAGACATGGTAGAAAGTTTTATAAGTTTTCATTAAAAATCCCCACATGTAAAAATATACGCCCATATATTTGCTCATATTAAAAATATATATGCAATATATGTAGTTTTAAAATATATGTACGCATATATTTAACTGTGGCATTTTTTAATATTTAAGTATATGCCAATATATGCACATGTAGATAAAACATGTAATAGCATCCATTTTTACACATATGTCAAACATATGGAAATATATTATAAACTCGACACTTCTTGAAAATATATGGAAATTTATCTCCATGTCCAACAATATCTGCTTCTTTTTGTAAAAGAGACAAGTAGGAGAAACTGAAATATGGATTCAAAACTAATGAAAATTTCAGTGACTCATTGGAAATTTCCAGCTTGATCAATGATTTTTAAAAATAAAGTAACCAAGTTTAATCAATTAACTGTGATAGGCTATATCAGTCAGGATATTATTAGCATTTTTTCAAATCAGAAAAAAACAGGAGACTCTTTCGCTGTTTGGTGAGTTTATTTGCAAAGATTCTGAGCCCTCAACTTTTATACATAAGTTATAGGGAATCTATTCCTCGCTTAATTATACCTTGTAGCTTAAAATGACAGGTGTATGTAAATAATGGATTGGAGTAACTGGTTAGTTTTCATATTTAACCCTCATGCAGGTTTGGGACAAGCTCATGAATTTTCAGATTTACGTCCGGTTTCAACACCCTCCAGGCACCAGGGGGCAGCAGCAGAGTGCAGTGGAGCAGGTCAGGGGTCCTGTGTGGTTTATTGGCCTAGCACCCAATACACAGTACACATTGTCCCCTTCTCAGATCTCCTTATCTGATGTTTTCCGAGTGCTTTGTGCTTGTCAGAGGCTTCTGAGACTTCACTGTTCGGCCTTTGTTGGAAGCCTCTGATGTCTTTCACCTTATGTTGATTGTTACAGTAATATATTCTTCAACATAGTCTTGGCAAAAGATTCAAGAATCAGCCTCCAATTTTGGCCACATCTCTTCAACAATAATTCTGGCAAAAACAGAATATTGAGTTGTAGCACTGCAATCAGTCCTTCAAAATGTAGAGTAATACATAATATGCATGTGTATCAAGACCTAAGAACATAATTACAACAGTTTTATTGTAAAATGTTAGTACGTCATAGAAGCACGCTGGTAATATTTAAGGCTTTTCAAAACACATAAATGTAATCATGAGCAAATATTGGGTTAATTACTGAAAAACAACAGAGCAGGCTACTTTTATCAGGCCCACAAAGAATAAGCATAAGTGCACTTTGAGTGGGGGAAGAAGCCCCCTTAAGCACAATTTCCATTTGCTGAAAATTAAACCATACTTCTACAAAGATTTGTAGTAAGGTTATATAAACTGGAAATAAACTAGCAGGAGCCAATATTGTTTTTATAGCACAAAAACAAAAACAGTAAAATAGAAAATATTAGTTTTGACCTCCTTCATACTCCGCAACGTCTTCTTCCTTGAGGAAGCTGTTTCAGTCTCAGTCCAGCGGTGACGCTGAGGTATTTAAAAAATCCAGCACTGCTGTGTCTGATCCACTCAGACCAGTTCAACACACACCGACACGCCACCACATCAGTGTCACTGCAGTGCTGAGAATGATCCACCACCCAAATAATACTTGCTCTGTGGTGGTCCTGTGGGGGTCCTGACCACTGAAGAACAGGGTAAAAGGGGGCTAACAAAGTATGAACAGGTAGACTACAGCCTGTAATTGTAGAACTACAAAGTGCGCTTATGTGGTAAGTGGAGCTGATAAAATGAACAATGAATTTAGATACAAAGAGGTGGTTAAGTGTTATGGCTGATTGGCGTGTATGTATATATAAATAAATAAATAAATAAATAAATAAATAAATCTTCATGTAAATTGTTTTGTTGTTGTGTATTGGGGCAGTCATGGGCTGGAGGCTAGGAAACCAGCCCTGTGACCGGAATGTTGCCGGTTTGATCCCCTGCGCAATCAGTACATGACTAAAGTGCCCTTGAGCAAGACACCTAATTCCCAGCTGCACCCTGGGTGCTGTGGATAGGGTTGCTAATCGCTCTGGGCAAGTGTGCTCACTGCCCGCTAGAGTGTGTGGTCGCTAGTGTGTATGTGGAGTTTCACTGCACGGATGGGTTAAATGCGGAGGTAAAATGTCCCTATTGTGGGACTAATAAGGGTCTTTAAATCTAATCTTAGTTTGTTGTATATTTTGCGCTTAGTTCACACTGTCGTGTATCTGCTCTTTATGTAGTCCCGTGCTGCTGTTGTGGTGCACCATGGGGCCTGAAGAACGACATTTTATTCCAGTGTATACAAGTTATATTGAGAAATGACAATAAAGACAACTTGGCTTATCCAGATGTTGCTGTATGTTAATATTTGCATTTTTATATTAATGGGCATGATAAAAAGCTCATTATAATTTGATGGCATAAAAGTCCTCATCTAAAACACTAAAGTTTGTTCATAAATGAGTAGAGCAGAGTTTTAAAATTGTACAGACACTTTTTATCAGTTTCTCATGATGTGCTGTTGAGAACGCATTTTTGGTTTTAAAGAAAAAGTGGGAAACGATGCCTCCCCATTGAAAAACCATTATCAGTGACCTCTTATCCAAACATCCAATTTAATCAGATGCAGCGCTTACTGGGAAAATAAGATTTCAGCATAAAAATGTAAATAAGTGTCCTACTTTGTCTGAATTCACCTTATTTACTTTTATTTATGCTATATGCCTTTGGTAAAAGCAGTACTGTAATATTAGCTAAGTTGTAAATTACGAAATCTTTGTAAGCAAAAATTTTCATTTCATGTTTTTGACAGTAAAGAGAAAAAACTTTGCAGGCAGTCTGTAATGGCCTTGTGCTTGTTTCAAGATTTATGTGAATACATTTATGTTAAATTAGACTTCTTTTGATTCATTTAGAAAATGAATGGTCAATAATAGTGCATATGAGTAGCTGTGTAAAATAGGAAATAGGGAAAGTCACTTAATTCAATCTCACAAGTTACAATACTGTAAATTACATGTAAACAGTTTATATCAGCTCTAATAGGTTTATAGTTAAAATACGTAAAGAGCTCACAGTAAACATCTGAGGCCACCTGCAAACGTGACCAAAATGCAAACATGCTGAATTATAAAGAAAGTATATTGTTGTTGTTGGATCTGCATCCTTGTCTCTCATGGCCATATGACGAACAGTTAAGATTCCATTGTTTTAAAGTAAATGTGTCCCAAAGTCTGTAAATCAGTGTGTAACCTTTTTTAATGAAAAATATTATGATTTTATGTGAGTACAACTGTTCAAATCTGTGCTTGCTAGTCATGTACTGGCTGGCATTTTTGAGGTCTACTCAAAATTAGCTGAAATTGGAAAAAAAAAGATTTCATGTAACAAAACAGGGAATAATTAAAAATGAATAAATGAGCCAGTATTGAAACAGGAAACACTGCCCAGATAAAATAAGTAAAATACCTTTACTATCAGACTTCATTCTGAAGAGAGTTTGATTGCTTGATGAATTTGAGTGTAAACATTTAGTAGACATTTAAAAGATATTCTTCATTTGCATGGAGCAAACTGATTGGATTTTATGCTATTCAGGGCTGTAATCTTAGTGTAATCTCATCACTACTTCTAATACAATAGTCATGCTAATTAGAGCTATCTTATGAATTAGCTGTTTGAGAAAAGATCTGGTCATTAATCAGCGATGGACTGTCATATATAAGTGTCAAGTCCCACAGAAGACAAACTGCATTTAGGCTCACACAGCCTGTGTGAAGGCCTTCATCACTTTCACCATTAATACAAATCCAAGGCAAACAAGTAAGTCATGCAGAAAACTTGATTTAAGTAACATAAGTACATTTTTATATAGCTTTGACATAGTGGCTCAGCAATATTTGATTCTATAGGTAGTCACTGAGTCAGATTGCAAAGCAAAAAATGCTCTGAGCAGATAAGCAAGAGTTAAGTTTTTATCTCTTGTGCCTTAATTGAACAAAATACTGTACTAATCAGGACTCAAGACTTCTGAATTTGTTTTCAATTGTACATCAGCTGAAGTCTGGAGAGTAAAAAACAGTTAACTGCTCGGACAAACTATCACTAATCTCGGCTCCCTGGTGTAATGGTAAGCTCCCCTGCCATTTGAGTGTGTGCTGTGGAGTTTAATGCCGCTAAAGCCATTCACATTGCAAGCACGTGTAATTCTTTTGGGTCTTTGCATCACAAAGAATGCTGCTTTGAGAAGTCGTCCTGTTAAGGTGCAGACTTTCATGAACTCGCGTTTGAAGGTGGGTCAAGCCGAGCAGGAGTCTGCATTGTGTGAACAACGTGCCTTCATAAATGACTCTTTTTGTGTTCAGAAGACGTGGATCAAACTCGTCCCTGCAAAGAGGCCTCCTCGAAAAAGGTAAACAACACTCGTGGAGGGCCCCACAGCTTTCAAGTCCGTGAGCTGAGGAGGTTGAAGAAAGCCTCAAGACCTACAAGCCCAAAGGTGGAGCTTTTGAGTCCTGCCTGGTTGTGTAATTCGCCATAGGAGGCCTAACTCTCAACTCCCTCCTTTCTGCACAAGCCTCAGTGTTATCTTTACCACAATGGGTGATTACGAAGAGGACACAGCTTTTCTGGGCCAAAAAGGCCCTTTCTTCATGATCATCTTCCTGCTTCTGAACGCCATCTACATCTCAACCGGCTTCCATAGCTTCTACATTGTGTTTGCTGGCGCCTCCCCTTCACACTACTGCCAGGTCCCAGAAGGGAATCTGAGTGAGGAATGGATCAAGGCCAGCATTCCCGTTGAGGCAGTGAATGGAAAGCTGGAACCGAGCAAGTGCTGGAGATATGATTTGGACACAATTCGACATTTCGCTGCGGAAGGGTACAACTTTGGTGACGTAAATTTCACAGATGTCGCCAAGGAACGGTGTGTGGAAGGATGGAAATACAGTACAGAAATCTACCACTCTACGATTGTCTCTGAGGTGAGTCCATGCACTGGTGTAGAAACCATGCCTTCTTTTTAAGTTGTTGAGCATTAGTCTGTTTAATGCATCTTTTCACCATAGTTTTTTGTATCGATCCTACTGTATTATATACCTTGTCCTACATCTCGATGCACTAAAAACAAACTAATAATCAGTTTTTTGAAAAATAAGTAAACACCCTCTAGAGAACATCCAATTTAATGCACAATTACTGTTCATTTGCCAAATGTAACAATAGTAATAAATGTTACAGACATACAGACAGAGTACCCCAAAGTTAGAGCAGCAACAAAATGTACTGGGCACATGTACATACATTTGGGAAAACTATAAAAATGCTCAAGATTTTTTTTATTGAAATGGTAACTTTACATTTACATTGGTAACTTTAATCTATGTAAATGAAATAAAATTGTATTTGATGTAATTTAGGACCATTTCTGTCAATGCATTCATCTATTTACACATGTTCAAATGGTGTAAAAAATAGAAAAATAATAAAAAAAAGAGATATGAATTTATGAAACAAGTGCAATTATTTATGTAGGATATAACTTAATGGTAAGATCTCAATTTTTGTTGTTTTTTGCTTTTTTTCACAATATTTGAAAACACTTTACATAGTGTTAAAATCTCACGGAGAACAGACCAATAGAAATGGTCCAAAATTACATGAAAAAAAATTGTAACATTAACTTCCATTACAAGTTTTTTTGCTTCTGTAAAGTTACCATTGTGGAGATACAAGGTTTTGTTCCAACGGTAACAATATATTGTGCCAGCTGAGAAAATGGAACAATGACAGCACTAGTGTGACTAGAACCAGTAATGTGGTCAACAGCAGAACTTAATGAAACCACTTAAAGTCGCCATTAACTTAAGTTAATATCGTTTATGGTATTCTTAATGAACAATGATGTCAAAGTAGAAGTGAATAAACTGTTTTTTTTAAATGTTTTGTCTGCAGTGGGACTTGGTGTGTGAAAGACAGTGGAGAGTTCCATTTGCCTCCTCAACGTTGTACATGGGCTACTTGTTGGGATCCCTCGTCTCAGGCCAGCTTTCTGACAGGTACTGAACCTCGTGTCTCTTGTAACATCTACTTACACACTTGCATGCTAATGAACTCGCTAAAGAACACACTTGTACTTTAATGGTTTCTTTGACAGTTTAAATGCAAATTATTAGTAGTCATGGAAACTGCACAATGTGTTTGTTGCCAATCCCACCAAAGACTCTTTAATACTGAAATGTCGCCATCTGCTGTAAGAGACAAAGAAGTAAACCATGGTTTTAGGAAGACTAATATTTTTAAAGGAAATTAATGATTTAATGAGTTAAGAAGCTGGTTAAGGTATTTGCCTTGTTCATTATTAATTACTCTTGAATGCTTTGACAAAAAATACAGATTCTGGTGACCACTACAAGTATAATGGAATGAAAGAAGCCTCAATAAAAATATAAAGTAATCATAAAATAGCATTATTTTTAATTTCTCTTTCAGTACACGACTGACACACTTTCCTAAAATTTGTCTCTTGAGTTTTGGTACCATTTGTATATATTTGGTTGGATGGCAGGCTTCCACATGAAACTACAATATTTTGTCAATGAATTAAAAAACATAATATAGATAAAGATAATATAGTGGATGGGTTGTCTATACAGATTTATATTTGTTGTTTACATGCGTCTGATTAAACGTGCATAGTGAATTATGAATTTTCCCATTAATCTTGGACTACCAAACAAAAGGGTTATGCGATGTTCACAGTTTCACAGATTGAAAGACACATACACATGGGTAAAAGATGTATTCCAACAGCACCATTAATCCAGTCTTCTTTGTTCAAGGTTTGGAAGAAAGAAGGTTCTTTTCGCATCTCTCGCTTTTGAGTCTCTCATCATCTTTGTGCAGTCATTCTCTCAGTCCTGGCTGGTTTTCTGTATCCTGTATTTCTTTGTGGGAGCCTTCCAGGTGTCCCTGTATATCACAGCTTTTGTTCTTGGTGAGCAACAAATCAATGTCATAATCTGTCTATGCATATGTGTGTGTATATATATATATATATATATTTATCTTCAATTATTACATAACTCCATAATCCCTCTTACCGTATGTTAATTTAATGTTATATTATATGCCTGTGTAGGCTTATTAACCTGTGATTACTTCCACAGGCACTGAGGTGCTAAGTACTTCCCTGCGAGTTCTTTTCACCACCTTGGGTGCCTTTCTACACTACTGCGTTGGGTACATGGTGTTACCATGGATTGCCTTCGCAATCAGAGACTGGCGAACTCTGCTCAGGGTCCTATCTGGGCTAACACTGGTGTACATCCCATTCTGGTGGTAAGTGGACTAAGAAAAAAATTCCAATATAAATTATACATATATAATATGCCCTTTTCATACTTGGTGTACTTGGTAGATAACTTTTAAACTTTCCTGCCAAAAAAGTTAATACCTACCAAAAAAGTCAAAAAAGTCAAAAGCCCAGATTTAGACCAATCCTAAATAATACAGCATTAAACCTATATGAGATCAGCTATAATCTACTGAGGGATGTTGACCACCAATGTCTTGCCTTCACAAATTTGTGGATAAGTCTTTGCCTATCTTTTGTGTTTAGTGGTACAAAGAACCAAAAGCTTTTAACATAATTTTTAGACTCAAAAAGTATAAAAAGTAATGATAATATTGCAAGCATCTCAAGCTTCATGCCACAGCTTTTTAAAAAAACATCACGCCACTTTACCCGAAAATATGAACGTACATCACCTAGAAGATGAGAAATATTTAAATCCTTTATTTCATCAAGCATGTAGTTGCTTTCAGTGTCGCTCCAAAAATGTTTTGCTGCCATCTCGCTGCAATGCTGCTTGCTCACTTCCTGTACCGCCTCTGTTCTCGCACATGCATAGACTGAGAAATCCTATCCAAATCTGAGGAAGCGTATACATGCACTGAGAAATCTGATCACTGAGCTGAAATCCAGCTCTCTTTATAGGATTTCTTAATCAGATTTCTAGATTGGAGTATGGCGTTTACATGACCATTTGTATAATCGGATAAGTGCAGAAATTCGATTATGATCGGATTATTAAGTGCATGTAAACGCACTCATTGAAACAAGAGTAATACTGTAATACTTACATAGTTCAAACACAAGTATGATTCTATTGAATTAAGATGTTCAACAATAGTACAGACATGTATTTTTTGTTCACAGAATTCAGTAGACTTTCTCCGAACGCCTAGAAGGCTGTGGGTTCCCTTCTGTCATCTAGAAATTGAAAGTAGTAGGCTAAAACTTTGGTACTCTACAGGTTCATTCCAGAGTCTCCTCGATGGCTGATCTCTCAGGGGAGAGTAGAAGAAGCTGAGGCCATAGTGAAAGACGCCGCTAAGAAAAACAAAGTCACACCTCCTGACATCATCTTCAAAGAGTCTGAGGTTTGATCCCATTGTTCAACAGCTCTGTTTGTTGCTATAGCAAACACTTGTTCTGCAGAAATATGTCATCTCATAGTCTTTTTTGTGGCCAACAAGCTATGTTATTTCTCTCAGGCCAACATGGTGATATCACACATGAAAAAGTACAGCATGATCGACGTTGTAAAGTCCAGTAATATCCGCTGTACTACTTTCATGTGTTTACTGTTATGGTAAGTATCACATTTTTCAGAGTTCTTATCTCTTAAAACTGGATTCTGGAACCTGGTAGGTGGATATATTTGCTAAATTCACCATGGTTTCTGCCTTCTCAGGATGGCCATCAATATTGGATATTTTGGATTGTCCTTGAACACGTCCAATCTCCTTGGCAATCCATTCTTGAACTGCTTTTTATCAGCTGTTACTGAAGTGCCTGCTTATATCGTTGCCACCTTACTCTTGAAGAGCTGTCCACGAAGACCGCTTCTCTCAGCATTCCTCAGTATAGGTGGAGGATTCCTTCTCTTGATCCAGCTGATCCCTGAAAGTAAGTTATTTACGTTTAAATTGATGCACGGAATACATTTTACACAAATAACTCATGGGTAGCTGTAATGAGTTATAACAACAGCAAGTCAACATGCAAACAACAGTTTTTACTTATTCACTGAAGGCAGTTAATTAAGGTATTTCATATAGGACAGGGGTGTTCAAATTTTTTCAGAGGGGGCCAGACTGGACCATATCAAAATACCTGAGCGCTGGTCACTCTTTAACATAATGTTATTTATAAATTATTTAAAATATTTGAGCTTTAAAAATACGTATAAAATATGCAAACAATTACAACAGTTGAACTGAGGGTCTTGCTTATGATCCATTCTGAGGATATGGCGATGGGCCCCCTTATACTAATTTAAAACTGCCACCAGAGCTCATGCAAATCCACGTTGGCCACAATGAAACGTATCAATGTGTAGAAATGGAGCTTTCTGTGTGCTACTGTGTTTCTAGCACTATATAAAAGTTGCACAGAAGTGTCTTTATTGTTGGATGCACTGTGATTTATTTTTAGAGCGAGAATCCAAACTCATTCAGAGTGCAATGCAGATCGTAAAGAGCTTATAACTTTGATTTCAGAGCAGCAATAAATGGCAACTAAAGTGTTAAGTAGATTCATATTTGTGTATTTTCTTGATCCAAAAAGTAGTTTGTAAGAATTGTTGGCTATAAATTTAATAAACAAATAATAAATAAATAATTAATGAAAATATTTAACTGCAGCATTAGGAGAAACAAAAAGGAGAAATAGCCACGTTTTTGACACAAGAGGAGGATAGAGTCCAGCTGCTTCAGCTGTCTCTTCCCTCATCAGTTAACCCTTTAGAATCCCAGGGTCATTACATACTAAGGCGTACTATTCAGTAACTACAGGGACTTTAATGTAAACTGGCTGAGCTGATTATAGAGGTGTGTAATAAAACTTTGCTGGCCATTTACAGGGTTAACTGTGCTTTTTGGCTGTAGTCGTGACCAAATATCAGTCAGTAAATTAATTTGCAGCTCTTTAGCTAACTTCATTACTACAGTGTGGTGCAGGATTATAAGTTAACATTACTGCTGCCTCCATCATGTGAAAAATCGAAACACATAGGCTGGTGGGCCATGTATAATGAGAATCTGTCAGCAATTAAAATCTGGCCACAGGCCGCATTTGGTCTGGGGGCTGGACTTTGGACTTCCACTGATGTGGGAAGTGACCCATTCATTTTTTTGCACTGGGGCCCATAGTATCCTTGTAACACCACCGTACACACAAAATGGTCATTGTACGCAAAAAGAATGAACATATAGAATAAACAGTAAAACTCTGTGTTCTTCAACATACTGCGCACATCACATGCACCTGCATCTAGTCTCAAACTGAGATTGTCATAGGACAGCAGGAAATTTGATTGTGTCTGAGTTTACTGTGTTACTTGAAGCTTAATCTTTTCCAGAGTAAATGAGTAGGACTTTGACCACTTTCAGAGAAGAGGATAAGTCACTGGGTTATAATGACTCTGTGTAAAGAAGTGTAACAACAAGGACATTCTAAGCAATTGGAAATGAATAAAATTTAACAATATTAAAATTAGTTTTTATTGCTGTTGTTACATTTAGTAAGAAAAAAATGTAATATTTATCAAAAGTTCTTAAAAGCTTAATCAAGAAAAAGATGTTTAGGGTAAGAAAGTTTAAGAGGTGTATATGGATGACTTTCAGGGGCAGATTTACTAACGTTTGTGCCATCATAAACCTTGTTTTGGCGCTAAAAAGTGACTGTCATGATTTACTAAAATGGGCCGATGACTCTTTAGCGTCTGTAATAAACTGACAGTGCTCCTTTGTGCTTTTGCATAACTGCCTATGCATTTATACAAGTTTCCTTCTCAAAGGGCAACATACTGGGAGGAGATTATTATAACAAAGCACTTATTCTGATTTACTCAGGCTGACAGTGAATGGTGACAGTGCACTAGTGAATGCATGTGAAAAGCTTGTCTTACTCCACAGACAAGAATTCCACAAATACCAAACAAGTGTGTTCTGAAACAGAAAGTCAAAATAATTACTCGTTAATAATGCTGAAATAATCACATACTTTCTCAAAGAGCAATAACTTGTCATTTTGTGACCTACTAAATCAAAATCTATCACTATTTCACTGTGTCACTAAACTGTCAGTATTTTGCACTTCATAGTAAATCTGGCCATATGACCAACAGTTTGCTTGAACCATCATATGAGCCAAGGACTCCTAGAAAACAGCAAGATGCCAAAAGATCATTTCCTCCCTATACCCAACAACTCATAGGTGCAGCCAATCTCTGACACCACATAACAGGCCTCGCACTACCCTAGCACACCAGATGGGGACACAGGGGGTCATATTACTTTACAGTAATCCCTTTGTCTGAGACTGCAATGAAATTAAGTATTGTGGATTGAAGATATAAATGACAGCTAGCCAACAGCTGCTTGCTAGCAATTGGGAACAGCTACCTTTAAGCTTTATCTAATGCAGAACATCTTAATGTACCTTACACAAAGATTAACTAAAATAGCAAACTGTGTTCTCTCAAGGAAAGTCAGCTGTATGGACATGTAATTTCAATGTAGGCTTAAAATGAATGCTGAGAGTAAAATTCAATTGTAACCCTCTGTTACAGGTCTTCATACACTGGCACTGGCCTTAGAAATGGCTGGCAAGTTTGGCTTCACCATGGCCTTCACTGTGGTGTACATTTACACAGCAGAGGTTTACCCCACTGTGGTTAGAAACCTGGGAATGGGAATGTGTTCTTCTGCTGCACGTATTGGAAGCATCACTGCGCCCTACATCATATTCTTAGGTACGTTGATAATTTGTTTACTAAGGATACAAAACCAGGTTTGACAACTTTAACTTTCAGAGGCAAGCTGACAAACAAATGCTTATTAGGGGCCCAAGCACCCTAGGTGATGGAACCCTATCGTTTTCATTAGGCTTTTTTTTCTTATTGTTGTTTTTTTCTCTACTAAAATGATATTATGAAATGAATTGTTGTAGAAACACTAAACTGAAAGGGGAAAGTGCAGTATTTTCCCCACTACTTATCAATATAGCTGCAGTTAGCCTTATAGTGGTGCTATACAGTAACATTTGTACATTGTTGACTGTCTTGCTTCTTCAATCTCATAGGTATTTAAATGACCGTGCTTGCTTTCTCTTCTAACGCAGGCACGTTTAGTAAGTATCTCCCATATATTCTGATGGGAAGCCTCACCATTGGCTCATCCTTAGCAAACATGTTTCTGCCCGAGACTTTTGGTAAAGTGCTGCCTGAGACCGTGGAACAGATGCAGAAGTGCAAAGGGTATGATTATCTAAGAACACACCAATTTTCCTGACTTCAAATCAGCAGTTAACAAATATTAGAACTGTCTCATATTGATTCTGTTTTGCTACAGCTGCCCCAGGGGAGATGACCATATGATGGAGGAAAACAGGAAACAGGTTGTCCTAAAGGAACAGAAACTCTGAGGACATCACGTTGTAGAAAAGCTGCAAAGCTGAGGATTGTGTGTAAAATTATACAGATTTTGTATATTTAATGTGTGAAATTCAGAATAAGGACAGCAGAGAAAACATACACTATCTGGCCAGAAGTATGTGAACACCTAATTACTGGGTTCAGGTGTTTTAACAGGTGTATACAATAATGCCCATAGCCGTGCAATCTCCACAGTTTCTTCCCTGCTACATCTGCCCTGATCAACTGTAAGTGTTATTGTTGTGAAATGGAAGTGCCGAGGAACAACAACAGCTCAGCCACAAAGCAGTAGACCCCACAAACTCACAAAATGGGGCCACAGAATGCTGAAGCACGTAGTGCATTAAAATGGCCTATCCTCTGTTGCTTCCAAACTGCCTCTGGAGGCAGCTCAACTGTGCGTCAAGAGCTTCATGAAATGGGTTTCCCTGGCCAAGCAGCAATCAATGCCAAGCGTCAGCTGGAGTGGTGTAAAGCACACTGACATTGGACTCTGGAGCAGTGGAAACGTGTTCTCTGGAGTGATGACTCACACTTCACTGTGTGGCAGTCTGATGGATGAATCTGGGTTTGGAGGATGCCAGGAGAAGGCATAGTGCCAACAGTAAAGTTTGGTAGAGGAGGGATAACAATCTGGGGCTGTTTTTCAGGGTTTGAGCTAGGCCCCTAAGTTCCAGTGAAGGGTAATGTTAGTGCTACAGCATACAAAGCATTTTACACAGTTATATGCTTCCAACCTTGTGGCAACAGTCTGGGGAAGTTGGTGTGGAGGAAATCCAGTGGGCTGCACAGAGACCTAAACTCAACCCCACTGAACATCTTTTGGATTAATTGAAACGTAGATTGCAAGCCAGGCTTTCTCTTCCAACATTAGTGTCTGACCTCACAAATGCGCTTTTAACTGATAGGACACAAATTCCCACAGACACACTCGAAAATCCTGTGTACAATCTTCTCAGAAGAATTGAGGCTATTACAGCCACAAAGGGGGCCATGGGGGCAACTCTGTATTAATGGCCATGGTTTTTCATATAGGTGAGCTTGTATGGCTAGCATGGACAAGCATACTTTTGGCCATACAGTGTACATACCTCTGCTTCTTTACTCCAAGTACTCATTATGTTACCAGGCCTTTGTGGTAAACATAACAGCACAACTTTTTTACTTTGAACCAGTGGCACTAAGAACCTGACCAGTTAATTTCTATAAGAAATGCAACATACTGTATTTTATTGCTGTTTTTTTATTGCTGTTTAAAATTGAGACCATCATCAAATCTGTTTCTTAGGACTGTAGGCTATTAAATAACACTAGCATTTTTAAACTATGGTAATCAGTAACACATGGAATGTTGTTAGAGAAACTGAGTTTGAAAATGTTCACGTCATATACACTCACTGGCCACTTTATTAGGTACACGAAAATAATGCCTCCTCAGTGGTGATCCTGTGGGGGGTCCTGACCATTGATTAATGGGGCAAATATTGCCAACCAATCATGTAGAAAGAGAGATGGACTATAGTCTATTTTAAAATCTAGAATTGTAAAACTACATACAAGGTAGGTGTACCTAATAAAGCAGACAGTAAGTGTCTCTGTGTGTGTGTATATATATATATATATTTATATATATATATATAGATAGATAGATAAATAAATGTGAATCTACACAAATTATAATATTTACAAAAATATATAGAAGTTATATATCGATATAGAATACACTGAAGATTGAATAAAAGTGTGTAGGTACGTTGTTACAAGACTTGCTGTCTGAGGTACAAACATGGTGTGCATGATTACATTTGAACCCACTGACACAGTTTTATTTCTTTTTTTACTCTGCATTTATACCAGCTCTGGTTTTGATTGAGCTCAGTTAAAGCTCAAATAAAGTTTTACAGCAAATGAGTTCAGGCTTAATTTGTAGAGCCAGGTTTACATACAGTGGTGCTTGAAAGTTTGTGAACCCTTTAGCGTTATGTAAATTTCTGCATAAGCTTGAGCTAAAATGAGATCAGATCTTCATTTGTCATAACAATAGATAAAGAGAACCTATTAAAACAATTAACATTAGCAATTATATAGATTTGGATTCATTTATTGAACAAAGTAATACAACATTACGTATTTTGGGTAGCAAAAGTACAACCTACCTCTGGAATTATCACCTTGGCATAAGGGATAATTGGAGTCAGGAGGTTAAATTGATGACAATCAAGTGGTGAGTGTGGCTAAACCCTATCCTAGACTTCAGAAAAACAGCTGCCGAGGCTCATTGGGGTGGAACAGGTTCTAATACAATTTCTGAAGAGTTTCGACTTCACCAATTCACTGTCAGGCAGCATATTTAACATCATAGCTAACTTTCCAGCAGTGGTCATGCAACAAAAATGACTCCAACAGTAAGGCTTACAAGATTCTGGGAAATCATAAAGAACCCCAGGGTAAGCCCCAAGGGGTCAGACTTGGTGGTTGGAACAGTCTATTGGTAACACCTCTGCCCTTCATTCTGCAGACAGAGGTTCAATCCCCCACCCAGGTAAACATGGAAAGCTATACCAATAAGAGTCCGAATGCCTCAAATTTGTAACATAAGGATCTGCAGGATCTTGCACTAGCTAATGTCAGTTTTCATGAGGCCACCATAAGACAAACCCTGAAAAAAATAGTGTGTATGGAAAGATAGAATGGAGAAAGCCATGCTATCCAGGAAAAAAAACTTGCCTGTTTAAAGCTTCCTAAAGACCACTTGGAGGTGCTAGAAGACTACTAAAATAATATCATGTGGATGGAAAAACAGGAAAAAACAGAAATTTATGGCTTAATGAGAATGAGAATGTTCAAGTCAAGTCAAGTCAAATTTATTTATATAGCGCCTTTTACAACAGGTGTTGTCACAAAGCAGCTTTACAGAGAATCCGGGTCCAGGCCCCCAGTGGGCAAGCCTTGGCAACAGTGGCAAGGAAAAACTCCCTCAAGGAGGAAGAAACCTTGAGAGGAACCAGACTCAAAAGGGGGACAGATAGTTAGTTCTGCAATGGGTGACCGAACAGAACAGAGTTGACAGAGTTCAGCGGTAGGCCTGGCTATGGCAGCATAACTAAGAGGGAGAGCCAGAAGGTAACAAGGACCTGAGAAGTGAGCGCCCCTCTGCTCCATCGTCAACAAACTTGAGTGAACACGTAAGAGCAGTGGGACGACAGCACCAAGATTCCCAGATTACCATAAGACTCTCTGTCCGTGAACCCCCAGATCTGCACCTTTTTCTAACAGGAAAACTAATCAACCAAAGACTCGACTAAACAGGTAGGTTTTAGCCTAGACTTAAAGATGGAAGCTGTGTCTGAGTCCTGAACACTTACTGGTAGGTTATTCCAAAGCTGGGGGCCTTTGTATGAAAAGGCCCCTCCCCCTGATGTAACTTTATTAATTCTAGGTACTAATAATGAGCAGCACCTTGTGATCTAAGTGGGCGTGTCGGTTGATAGTAGGAAATAAGGTCACTGAGGTACTGAGGAGCAAGGCCATTCAAGGCTTTATACGTCAGAAGAAGAATTTTGTACTCAATGCAGAATTTAACTGGCAACCAGTGTAAGGTACACAAAATTGGGCTAATGTGGTCAGATTTCCTGGTTTTGCTGAGAACTCTGGCTGCGGCGTTCTGGACTAACTGAAGCTTGTTAAGGTTGGCTGGAACAACCAGAAAGCAGAGCGTTACAGTAATCTAACCTGGACGTGATAAAGGCGTGAACTAACGTTTCTGCATCCTGTAGCGACAGTGCATTTCTTAATTTAGCAATGTTACGCAGATGGAGGAAAGCTATTCTGGTAATATTGGTAATATGCTCATTGAAGGCCAGACTGGGATCGATCGTGACACCAAGGCTTTTTACAGATGTGCCTGGTGCAATTGAGAAATTATCGAGCTTAAGAGTAAACGTGGGCAGATTATCCCTAGCAGCTTTTGGACCCAGAGGAAGAACTTCTGTTTTGTCCGAGTTTAGTAAAAGGAAGTTACTTGACATCCAGTCTTTAATGTCTTTTACACAGTCCTCTATCTTATCAAGTTCAATTTTGTCCTCTGGTTTAGCTGAAATATACAATTTGTATCATTCACAATTTTCACCAACGCTGTTTCGGTACTATGGTGAGGCCTGAAGCCAGACTGAAATTTTTCATGTATATCACTCCTATGCAGATGGGAACATAATTGTTTTGCCACTGCTTTCTCTAAAATTTTTGATTAAAAGGGACGATTTGAAATACACTCCAAAAGTATTCACTCACCCATCCAAATCATTGAATTCAGGTGTTCCAATCACTTCCATGGCCACAGGTGTATAAAACCAAGCACCTAGGCCTGCAGACTGCTTCTACAAACATCTGTGAAAGAATGGGTCTCTCTCAGGAGCTCAGTGAATTCCAGCGTGGTACCGTGATAGGATGCCACCTGTGCAACAAGTCCAGTCGTGAAATTTCCTCGCTACTAAATATTCCACAGTCAACTGTCAGTGGTATTATAACAAAGTGGAAGCGATTGGGAACGGCAGCAACTCAGCCACGAAGTGGTCGGCCACATAAAATGACAGAGCGGGGTCAGCGGATGCTGAGGCGCATAGTGCGCAGAGGTGGCCAACTTTCTGCAGAGTCAATCGCTACAGACCTCCAAACTTCATGTGGCCTTCAGATTAGCTCAAGAACAGCGTAGAGAGCTTCATGGAATGGGTTTCCATGGCTGAGCAGCTGCATTCAAGCCTTACATCACCAAGCGCAATGCAAAGCGTCGAATGCAGTGGTGTAAAGCGTCGCCACTGGACTCTAGAGCAGCGGAGACGTGTTCTCTGGAGTGACGAATCACACTTCTCCGTCTAATTTAAGAGACTTTGGAATATAGCCGAGGCTGAGAGAAGAGTTTATTATAGATAGAAAAGGCTTGGTTATTTCTGGCAAAACGTCTTTAAGTAAACTTGTAGGGATTGGATCTAGTATACAAGTTTTTGAAGATGAAATAATTTGGACAAGCTCTGTTTGTTAGGGTAAAGTAAAGTAGTGGTTATACTGCACTCTAGATCTAGATTAGGTTTATAGGATGCTGCACTGCAATGCTGCGTATTTTGAATTTTGTGCCTAAACGATTACATTTTATTATTAAAGAAGTTCATGAAGTCATTGCTGCTGTAGGCTGATGATATCTGGGCTTCAGTAGCTGCTTGATTATTAGTCAGTTTAGAGATTGTACTGAATAGTAGCCTAGGATTATTCTTGTTATTTTCAATTATTGACAAGAGGCTGAACGTGCTGACTTTAGTGCTTTCCTATAGTCTATAAGACTCTCCTTCCAGGCAGATTGGAAAACCTCAAGTTTGGTCTGACGCCATTTAGGCTCTAATCGCTTAACAGTCTGTTTCATAGCTCGCGTGTGATCATTGTACCATGGAGCCTTTTCTGCCTTACTCTTTTACTTTTTAATGGAGCCACATTAAATAAATACATTAAGTAAATTCTACAGAAGAAAGGTAGGGCATCCATCTATGAACTGACCCTCAAAAAATGTCAGATCTTACAGAAAGACATCAACCCTAAAACACCAGTTAATCTACAAATAATGGTTGAAGCAGAAGAAATTTTTGCATTTTGAAATGGCTGAATCCAAGATAATAATCCAGTAAAAATGTTGTTGCAGGATCTAAGATGTGCCATTCATACAAGAAAGCCCACTAACAACTCAGAGTTGAAGTGGCTCTGTAAGGAAGAACAGGCCAAGATTCTTCCAAGTCAATGTGCAGGGCTGATGAACAGTTACAGAAATCATTTGGTTGAAGTCATTGCTGCCCAAGGGGGTCACACCAGTTACTGAAAGCAGAGGTTCACATACTTTTACAAAAGATTTTTACAAATATTTAATATTGATTTTATTGAGTATTCTTTGTCTGTTATGACTTAATGCCTGATCTTCGGATCTGATCACATTGTAGGTCACATTTATGTAGAAATTTAAAGAATTGTAATAGGATCACAAACTTTCCAGCACCACTGTAGTTTATGATCTTTTTATTCTAAAATGAATTTCACAGGGAACTACTAAATAGAATTGCACACAATTTTGGTTTGCTGTCTGAATGAATGGTACAGCAAAGACATCAACTCAACTCCATCCTCTGAAACTACTGTCTCAGACCAGTGTTTATTCTAGCATCTTACTTACCTGCCATATTACCCCTCTTATCTGACTGCCACCTCACCTTTCTTTGCCACTATACACCCCTTTAATTGCTGCTGCACTCAGCACTTTAACTTTAGACCCATACTTTGCACATTGTAAAGGTTACAGGTTTGACTCTGTGTGTGTGTGTGTGTATGAGTGAGTGACGGTAGGAATGTATGTTTTTATTTTATTTTTTTGTATTGTATTTCATTTTGTTGTATTTTATTCTATTCTATTTTATTTTATATTTATTTTATTTGATTCTGACATGTATCAGTCAACTACTGTAACAAAAATAAGGAAACTCTTCCATACATACATACATACAAACACACACACTGTGTACAATAAAGGGGAACTCCACTGATTTGTTTCAAAATTTCTGTGTAATTCAGTGGTCATGGAGGGCTAGTATCTTGCACAGTTTGGTAGTTGCCCTACTCTAACACATTCACTAAACCTGAGTAGTTGAATCAGATGAGTATGTGCTGTGAGATCAGCAAACCGTGCTGGACACTGGCCCTCCAGGACCGGAGCTGTGCATGCCAAGTATAATTCAATCACTGATATGTAACTAAAGTCATTCAGAGCGGTTTGATGTGAAACAGTTCACTGTAGAGAAACGTACCAATTTCTTATGCATGGTGGTAATAGGAACCAGGGGTTGTGACATCTACAACATAAATATAGCAATTTTTATTTATTATCGAAAATTACCATTAAACCTCTAAATTTCTCCTCTTTTTTTATATGAAGGGTTGATAATGTTAGAATAGTGTTCAACCTGAAAAAATAGGTTTTCAACTTTTTCTACTTTGCATTTGTCCCAGCTTTGGTACTGGTTTAGTGGCTATAAGCTCAAATAAAAGCTTTTGCAGCAAAATGGGTTCGGGCTAAATTTGTAGTGCCAGGTTTACATAGCAGTTTAGTCATTTCTGTATTTCAACCCCCCCAGTTTCATTTCCAGAAATTTCAAATGCAAATACTATGTAGAAATCCATTAATTTTTTTCTTGCTTGTCACAGAATTTAGATGTTTCTTGGTGCTGAGGGACCTTTCAGATTTTCCTTGTATAAATAGCATTTATGCAACAGATCCTTAGGAATGATTCACAGTACATTTGGCTAAATGTGAGCTGTAAGGTCCAGTTACTGTTATCCAATAGTCTTTGAGGACATTAACGGTTCATTGCCTGTATGTTTCACAAGACAGTAGACGATCAGCCACCAAACCTTCTCCTGCAGATCTACTTTCCTGTAACATGTTTATGTAAAATGTATGCATTTGCAGTGAGCCCTTAACTATCATAAACATTACGACTGAATATTCTGTTCAATATAATTCAAATAATGTTGGCCACATATTTATTTTTATCATTGATTTTTGACACTACTGATTTATTAATGTCACATTGTCTCTGCATTGCCCACCTTATGGCAATGAATACAACATTTTTTTTACTGAATTATGGTTTTACAACTTTCTAGAAACGACTGCAAGGCAACATAGGTGATCATTAAACCTCTGCACATCTGACCTAGTAAAGCCCTGTCAATTCAACGCGGTCATATAATGCGAGTGCCATGTAAAGTGCTGTGCAGCTCTCCTCACAGCTGTTTGTTGAAGAAGCGGTTGCTTGTGTTTAGAAGAGCAGTTTTGCATAATGAGAGATTATGACGATATTGCTGCCTTCCTTGGAACATGGGGACCATTTCAAAGGGTTGTTTTCTTAGCACTGGCCATCAGCATTCTCCCAAATGGTTTTGTGGGCATCTACATAGTGTTTGTAGGTGACACTCCACCACATGAGTGTCTGATTCCAGAGGAGTACAACATCAGTGAGATATGGAGGGAGGCCGCTATTCCTATGATAACCCAGGATGGAGTTTTAAAACGAAGCTCCTGCAGCAGGTACAAAGTGGACACACTGAGAAACTACTCCATGCTAGGCTACATCCCAAATGTGGATGTGAACATGACTCACATTGAACTGGAGAGCTGTCTGAATGGATGGAAGTACAGCAAAGACGTCTATCAGTCGACTATCGTAACAGAAGTAAGAACTCTTCCATACATACACACACCTACATATGCATACATTAAAAAGAAATTTCTGTATAATTCAATGATTGAGATGTGACCAAAGTCGTTCAGAGTGGTTTAATGTGAAGTGGTGCATTGTAGAGGAACTTCCTGACTTATTTACAATGGTGATGATAAGAACAAGGGGTGACGATATCTACATCATTTTTTATTTGGCTAATGAACCCACACATGTCTTCTGAGCTTTTATATGTAATGTTGATGTTGGTCAAATAGTGTTAAATCTGAAAAAGTTTTCTTTGGGGACTATTTAGGCTTGTATCTTGCCCCAGTGTTACCTTGCATGTACTTTGAGAATACATTTTAGACCAAAGCCTCATCTTAAAACCATTGTACAATAATGTCTCAGGCAGCAAGCAGAGTATTCATAACTGTTTCATTTTGCATCAAATCACTCTGAATTACTTTGTTTACATCAAAAACATTTAATTATGCCGACATTTTGAAAAATCAATGACATTTACATTTAAGTGATAGACACAACCTCTTGGACATCCAATATATCTAAAACAGTTGTCACCACCCCTGCTCCTGGATGTCTAACTTACCTCAGACTTTAACTTTACTCCAACAAAGTGACCTCACCTGATCCATCTAACTGTTGCCTTCTGAAGTCCTTGATTAGCTGAATGACTTCTGTTAACTGTAGGTTGGAGGTGAAACCTGTCGAAATGTAGACCTCCAGGAGGAGGGTTGGTGACCACTGATGTAAACTAACAGATTTTTTGCATGTTCTCTCCATCAGTCATTACTTAGTCATTTTCTCTCGTACTGTTATTATATTCCAATTGCTATATTGCTATTATTAGTTTGTTTACTGTTAATCCACCTAAGAGTCATCTGAACACTCTCCAGGGGAAGGGATGAAACTAAAAACGTGACCTTTTTGTACAAAGGGCTGAATATGTCAATGTCACAAATTTGCTTTAATTTGAATGGAATCTTAGAACTAATGTATAATCTTAATCTGTATAATCTTAAAAAAGTTCTGTTTTTATTTACATTTAAATAAAAAATCCCAGGTGGTCTCATATATATATATATATATATATATATATATATATATATATATATATATATATATATATATATATATGCATTAAAATTGTAGTCACATCCTGCAATTAAAATTAGAAAACCAACAACTGTTTGCATGAATATACTTACATATCTGAACTGCATTACAATGCTGGCGAAAATCCAAACATGATTAAATGTTTACAATGCTGAAAAGCATAAATCATTAAACTCACATGTAACCGCAGCTGACTTGTGGACCCTGAACATAGGTCCTCTACGCTTCACTGGCTATCATTATCATATCACAGGCAATCATTTAGATAATCAACACATGGAATGCAATGCACATATCTCTTATGTGAGAAAACTGGAGCTAGAAATATCTACTCTCTAGATAAAGACAAGTTATATTATGTTTTTTTTTTTGCTTCAGACTATGTACTATATTCATTCTCCTTTTTTTACTGCCATATTCTTTAATGCTGCTCTTTCAGTGGAACCTTGTTTGTGAAAATGAACACAAAGTCCCGTTAACTTCCTCCGTTCGCTATTTCGGAGCTCTGGTGGGAACATTTCTCTCTGGTCAAATGTCTGACAGGTCAGTAAATGTGCAATCCAAATGAGCTACAGTTTGCGTTACTGACCATGGCCTTGAAGAAACTTGCCTTTCTTTGTACATTGACAGGTTTGGAAGAAGGCCAACATTGTTTCTCATGATGGCTTTGCAGACCATAAGCATTTTAATTCAGATATTCTCCCCAAATTGGGAAGTATTTACTACACTTTTCTTTTTTGGGGGTTTTGGAGAGATTTCCAACTACCTCGTAGCTTATATTCTTGGTACGTTCAAGCAAACCTCATCGATGTCATATACATGAATGTATTTTTACAAGTCAGCACACACATACTGCATGTTTATTCAATTTACAGGTTCAGAAATTCTAGGACCAAGAGAGAGGGTGGTCTTCTGCTCGATGGGTGTCTTCTTAAGCTCAGCATTGGGGTACATGGTCATGCCAGCTGTTGCATTTTTTCTGCGAGAATGGAGGTGGCTTGTCGCGTCTATGGCAGCGTCGGGGCTTATATATGTGCCACTTTGGTGGTAAGTATTGTGGTGTTGGAGTAGTGTAGGACAGAGAAGGCCATGAATCCACCACGACAACTGCTGATGGTTATCACCATTCATAGGCATCACTCTGATAGTAGGCCAGCCCACAACACAAAACACTCTCCCCAAGTAAACCTGCACCCCGACACAAAATAATACAAATAACATACACAACAACAATAGGTACATTTTTATGAGGGTACGCACCTACCATATTCCTCTGCACATGGCACAGCCTCCCAAGCTCCTCTGAGCCAGCCAATAGCAGGTCACTACAGTATTGTACATACTGTACCCCAAGAAATTGTTTCAAAATATTGCCATTTAAAGATTTTCAGGAGTTGTATTCACTATATGATGCAACAACATATAAACTATGAATGAAAGACATTACAGCACCAATTTTACATTTAGGTTTATTCCTGAGTCTCCAAGATGGCTGATCTCTCAGGGAAGATTTGAGGAAGCTGAGGCTATACTGAGACAAGCTGCAAAGAGAAACAAAGTCAAACCACCAGATGCCATCTTTACTACAGCAGAGGTAGGTAACTGACCTCAGTGCAGTACATGCCACTAGAAACCAAGAAAGGGCCTTCACGACATGACTGGAAGTCACAACAGAATGCCCATGACTTTCAACCCCTAAAACCACACTGCTTTAAAATCAGCATGCATCTGTGATGGATATCACCATGTAGGCTCAGAAATACTTTGACAAACCACTGTCAATAAACACTGTCAGTGCATCCACTAATGCAAGACTGTACTATGCCTGAAGAAAATCAAATGTCAACAGTGTAAAAAAATACTGCGACTTCTCTGGGCTCAAGCTCATCTGAAATGGAAGGATGCACAGTGAAAATGTGTATTGTGGTCTGATCAGTCAGAAAAGGACCATCCAGACTGCTACTAATGTAAAGCTCTAAAGCCAGGGTCTGTCATGGTATGGGAGGAGGTATTAGGTAACCTGCACATCTGTTAAGGCACTATTAACACTGAATTTTGGAGCGACATATGCTGCCTTCTAGACGCCATCTTTTTCAGGGACACCCATGCTTATTTCAACATGACAACACCAAGCCACATTCTGCACGTGTTACAACAGCATGGCGGTGTTATCAGAGAGTGCACATGTTAGATTAGCCTTCTTTCGGTCCAGAACTGTCTCCCACTGAAACCATATGTCTTATTGGCCTTAAAATACAACAAAGGCCCTGCACAGCTGAAGACTTGTATAACACAAGAATGACAAAAAATTACACTTTCAAAACTGGATTAGTTTTCAGTCCTCAAATGTTTATTAAGAGCTGTCTAAAGGAAAGGTGATGTAACACAGTGATAAACATGCACCCATCACAACTTTGTTGGAATGTGTTGCTGTGTTGTTTAGCAGTGAAAATATGAATGATGCTACATACACACGATAAGCAAGCTAACTGAATGTAACTGAATGAGCAATTGTGCTGTTTATGTGAATGCTGGATTCATATTAAGGCCTGAAACATACTTTACACAAGGATGCGAATGCAAATGACAGCGCTCGTTCAAGGCACTGCAAACTCTCAGTCCTTCTGTACAAACTTATCGTGCGTTATTACGTTGCTGTGGCGGTTAAAACACTCAGTACTGAAGGGGGCGATAGAGGACAAATCAGAGAGTGATCTACTGCTATTCCAGGAGCCTCAACAGCTAAACGTGGGCAGTAGAGGAGAGTGAGCTGCTTTACCTCTTCTCCTGAAATGGAAATGTAATAATGTATGATATTTTATGTTTATGTAAGCCATCTTTGTGCGAGACTCAACTGTTCGTCTGCTATAATAGCACACTGGTGGAGCGAAACTGCTTAGACGGGCTTGACTGTCGTTTTAGCACCTCTTGCTGTAACGCTCAGATTGCAGCTTGCGTTTGCACCACTTTATGAAATGCGTCGTGACACATTTTTCAACGCAACTATGCACGAAACCCCGTCTGCGTAACTTGAAGCGTCTCTGTTTGCATCCTTGCATAAAGTATGTTTCAGGTCTAAGAGTGTGTCTGTACTACCAGTTTTCTAAGTGGTATGTTTCTCCAAGTTCAAATAAAATATTAAAAAAAAATTTACTTCTCCTTTTTAGCTTAACAGTGCTGCGACTAAAAAGGAAAAGAAATATAATATTTTGGACGTTGTAAGAAGTTGTAACATGGTTGCCATCATAACTCTCTGTGCACTTCTTTGGTGAGTTCTTCTATGCTCAATATTTCAAGACAGTAATACTGTACTAAATGATCTGATATGCAGATAAACTCCAAGTTTGTTTTGTTTGTTTGCTGTTTAGTGTCGTATAAATCATCTGAGCTCCATTGCATCCACAAATCAGGATGCATTGTCTCTTATTACACAGTGTTTTGTACCTACAGGATGATCATCACATTAGGGTATTTCAGTTTGATTCTAAACACCTCCAATCTCCATGGCAACGCTTACCTGAACTGCTTCCTGTCTGCAATTGTGGAGGTCCCAGCCTATGTTATTGCTATGCTGCTACTGAAATATTGTCCAAGACGTTACTGCCAGTCCTCAACACTTCTCCTTGGTGGGGCAGTCATTCTTTTCATTCACCTTGTTCCGCTGGGTAAGGGAATGGCCAATGCATGGCCCTACATGGACTACATAATGAAGTGACCAGTTGGTGTATATTTGCTATTATGAGCACTTCTTTCGTTATAGATATACCTGAGTTGGCGATCTTCTTAGAGATGGTCGGGAAGTTCGGGATCACTGCAGCGTTCTGTGTAGTTTATGCGGTGACATCAGAGCTCTTCCCCACCGTGGTGAGGAACATGGCCATGGGAATCTGCTCCATGTCAGCACGTGTAGCGACCATCGTCTCTCCTTTTATTTTATATCTGGGTATGTTATCTAAGGAATAAAGAATACATTATATTGTCACTTTGGTTTTTTTGTAATTTAATATCCAGTGCATATGATCATTTAAAATGTACAGAATTATGTCTTTGGTACTTAAATATGAACAGCATTATTGTATTCATAACCAGAAATTAAGATATGTTTAAAAAATGAAACTGAACTACAACAACTCTAAAGGTACAAACGTAATGCAAACTGCTATAAAAAATTACCACTAGAGGCACAGTACTGTTTGCAAAGAAGCAGCCTGTCATTTGCAATACCTACCTTCATCACCAGAGGTCAGCCCCACCTGAGTATTGACTTGCTCCCTTGTGACACCCTGACCTGTCTCAGCTGCAGCTCATTAACCTTCCTTTATAAGGACCTTCACAAACACTGGATCTCTGAAGTATTGCCAAGACTTGTTAGTTCTTGTCTGCTGGATTTTTTTTTTGATTGCCTGGGCCCTTTTCTGAACTCTGACTCTGTTTTTGAACTCCTTTTGGTACCTTTGCTGTGTTGTGATCTGTTCTGTTTTTTTCATTTGCATATTATTAAACCAGTCTTTGATAATGGCAATGCATAATTGATATCTAGAACTTGATCTATTTTCTGAAACATTTATAAACACACATATGTAGTGTCTGAATATTTTTCCTTATCAATTTTAGTATTTTTGAACATGGCTTTTGTTTGTGCTTATGAAAACATTTTTTGTTCATATTTACAAGTACAAAGTCACAAGACAATATATTGCTGCTGGTGGAACAAAACATCATATCTCAAATGATGACTTTACAGAAGGAAAAAACAAAAAAAAATGGAGGTTTTGTTCTGACAGCAGTGATGTGTATATATGATGTGTATAAACTGGAAGTATGTATCCACAGTGTCTGAATACTTGTTGAAACTTGGTGTTTCATCTTATCTTTCTTTTAGGAAAAGTCTACAAGTACTTACCTTACATTCTCATTGGGAGCTTTGCCGTATTTGGTGGACTGTTCTGCTTCCTTTTACCGGAAACATTCAGAAAGGCTCTGCCAGAGACCTTTGCGGAAATGCAGAAAATCAGAGGGTAAAACAGCCAGTAACATTTTCCCCCCACATATTACACAGTGCAGACCAAAACAGAAAAAACACCTATATCTGTTTAAGTTCTAAGTTGTTTCAATTTCTATTCCCGAATGTGTCTTTAACTGCAATCATACTGTATGTAGTGTTGTCACAATACCAAACTTATGACTTTCGATACGATACCTGCCTAAATATCTCAATACCGATACTGAAACGATGTTTTATGCATGTAGGTGCGTTTTTGACAATGAACATGTACATTTTATAACATTAATATTTTGATTATTAAAAATAATTACATTAGAAAGGTCACCTTGTTATTACATTGCGTGTAGTGTTCTGATGTCCTATGTATCCTTGAGTTTATGGAATTTCTTTGATAGTTAACTTTGTATTTGCAACCAGATCTCTCTGATTAATCCGTTTAATAACACTCAATACGCGTCTAGGGCAGTTGCCTTTTTTTAGCAATAGAAATGATTGACAAAAATGTACATGCCGTAATTGCAATTACCAGTACAGCTGAGTTTAAAATGATCGTTTATAACTAGGCCTGACACGATAACTGTTTTTAAATAGATGATAAATTGTCCCAGGATTTATCGTGATAAACGATTTTATTGTATGTGTGTGTGTATGTACATATGCACATACATATTAAACACTGTTTTTAAATAAAGTCGACATACCAGCTCAATCGTGTTAATGGGATCTCCTCGCAAACTCAGTGATCAGAAAGGATCCTGGTTTTAGGGTCACGGATCGGATCATATTTACCATATGAAGATAGACCAGTCACCGGTTATGCTGATAGGGCCGTTTGCTGTAGCGATGGACTGTGGGGGTGAGTCTGATTCCTCACGAGGCTCATTCACACGGTCAACAGCAGCTCTGGTTGAGTTTGAATGAACGCCTGATATTTAGCAGCATGGAAGTCAGTGTAAACATAACGTTACCAGTTCGCCACATTGGTAGTTATCAAAAAAGATAATGTTAGTTAACTTAAACAGTTATCACTGCCCTAAACTGCCTCATGAAAAAGACTGACACAAAAAGCCTCCCACTCCTCTGACTTGAGCTTGATGTAATTGTTATAGCTATATCATATTCACTAACCTGCCGTTCTTTGAATTCTTTAAACAACTCTGCATGTCTGTCAGAAAGATACGTTGCTAAGTTGGAGGTGTTGGCTCCTTTGGTCTGTACATGTTTAAAGCATCTTTTGCAGACCGGTTTTAGTGTGTCCACGGGGTCGCCCTGACTGTCAGATGTGTATGCAAAATAATTCCATATTTCGCTTCGTGTGTGTGCTTTTTCTACAAGCCGAGGACGGTCTGCGAAAATGCTAGTATTAGCAGCCATGCTACGCGTTCTCTTCTGACTCTGAGGTAAGCGCTGGAGTGCTGCGCGCGCACACTGCCCCCTGTGGCACTCGTTGGAAATACCGCTCTTATTTTAAAACACGCTCATTCATTACTTGCTGTGAAAAACATTCCTTGTTGCTTATCCTTTTGATCTTTCATTCAAAATATTAACAAAAATCTAACTTTATTTGAAATACAATGATTGAAAAAAGTTAATCTTGTCAGGAAAAAAAAAATATTTTTCTTAAATAGGTGTGTGCCACAGTTGTTGGCACCCCTTCATTTAATACTTTGTGCAGCCTTCCTTTGCAAGCAAAGGTGACAGCTCTGACTCTCCTCCTATAATACTTAATGAGACTTGAGAACACATGGCAAAAGATCTGAGAACAGTTTTCCATACAGAACCTTTCCAGATCCTTCAGATTCTGATGTCCACACTGTGGACAATCCTCTTCACCACATCTGAGGACTGGGGTGGCCATGGCAAAATCTTAATCTGTGGTCAGTGAACCATTTTTGTATAGACTATGAGGCGTGCTTCGGATCATTGTCCTGCTGGAAGATTCAAACTATGGCCCGGTTTAAGCTTCCTGACTGAGGCGGTCAGGTTTGATTTTTGCTGGTACTTAATGGAGTCTGTGATACCATTTATCCATATAAACTGTCCAGGACCAGAAAAACAGTCCCACAACATCACAGATCCACCACCATATTTCACAGTGGGGGTGAGGCACTTTTCTGCATGGCTATCTTTGTGTCCAAGCCAAACTCACCTCAGGTGTTTATTGCCAAAAAGCTCTATTTTGGTCTCATCTGACTAGAGAACATTGCCCCACTAAAAGTTCCAGTAAGATCTAGCAAACTACAGGAGCTTAGGTGTCTTGGTTCTTGACAGTAGAGGCTTTCTTCTGGCCACTCCTCCAAACAACTTGTGGTTATATAGGTGGGTTTGGGAGACGTTCCAACCCCAAGACCTAACTAATGTCTACAATTCCCCATCTGTGATCTTTATAGATTCTTTGTCCACTCAAACTTTTATCCTCCTCACTGTGCGTGGGGTCAGTATAGACATACATCCTCCAATTATTTTCTCCTAACCGTTTCCTGATTTGTGCAGCTAAACAATCTTTTGTTGTACATCACTGCTGTGTTCTCTGGTCTTTCGCATAGTGATGGATGACTGATGGAAGTCGGCCTGTGTTTCATCTCAAACATATTCCCCAGTGCATCAGGAAGTCATGACTGACCATTTAAGTGTTGCTAATCGCTCAAGTGAGCTTAAAAATATAAAATATGAATGGGAATATTATTCAGTTAGATTTCACTCATAAGAATTTCTAGGGTTGCTTACAATTAAAAAACATTTATTTTATGGTAAGATTTAGTATTTTATTCCAATCATTATATTTTAAACAAAGGTTAGATTTTCTGCTAATAGTTTGAATGAAAGATCAGAAGAATAACTAATTAAGAAGATCATTTGGCTCGTGATTACCAGGGGTGCCAATCAGGTCAATTATGCATTTTAACTGCTGTTTTTTCCCTCCTAGATTACGTGGTGACACCTCAGAGATGACTAAAGATGATCACACTGAAAGACCTGAAGTAAAGGAGCAGAAATTTTGATCATCATGAACAATTAATACTGTGTTCTATCTAAGTTAATATTAATCACATTTCCTTGCAGAGGGCATATTAGCTTGCAATTCTCTACATGAGGAGGCCCAGTATTTAGAGTTATCACTGTACAGTAAGTACAGTTAGCATCCAGTACCTAGCTTGGCTCATCAACTCCTCATTAAATTAAATTAGTTATGTTGCTGATGGAATTGCATGCAATGGCTGGAACTATATTCTTCTATTGATAACTTTTTTTAAAAAAAAACAAAACTGACTGGTTACTGACTATTTATATGTATTGTGTTTATTCTGATTTTATATATGTATGGTAATATGGTTTTTATTTGCAAAAACAGTTACTGCCAAGATAAATCATTTTTAAAAAATTTGATGGCTGCCTAAAACTACTGCACCATGCAATATGACATACAATAAACAATCGGTCAAACACCACGTTTGTATACTTTGTTAGCCTGTTTTTCTACAGCTACTCCCACCCAGGGATGGGGAGTAGCTAAGCTAAGTAGCGCGCTACTTTTTGTAGTTAGCTACAATTTGTGTAGCTAATAGCTGTAGCACCTACAGTCTTATGAAATGTAGCCAACAGCTGTAGCCGCTACAGTCTTATGAAATGTGGCTAACAGCTGTAGCGCCTACAGTCTTATGAAATGTAGCTAACAGCTGTGGTGCCTACAAATTTTTGTGTGGTATAGTGATCATTTCCGCTACAGGCTCCAGTCAATCCACGCAAAATCTGAACCATAACGCGCAGTCGTTCACTGGGCTGGTGGCGATGTGCCGCTGACAGCATTTCATATCCGTTTTACCATCTTGGCTGTAAATAAGTCTCAGTGTGTGCTGATGTTCTGGTATAGCTGGTATAGGATACAAACATAATATAAACGAAAACGCAGATTTACTTTGTTCTGCTTTAAGCTTCAGCTCAGCTGTAGCCGCTTCTGTCGCACATCAGTCAGGCTGAAGTCAGATTCTCATTCACCAGCTTCTTGTTTGAATTGTCCCGCTTCACCTTAAATGGTGCCTGAGGCGCCAGAATGTACATTACTGCTGCACCATTTAAGGTGGAACGGGAGAATTCGAACAAGAAGCTGACTTCACGATTTAGGCCCAATCCCATTTCACCCCTCGCCCCTACCATTTAACCCTTTAGCCCTCTGTTTTGCACGTTCACGTCTAGGGTTAGGGTGTCCCAGTTTTTTGTTGAGATAGAGGGGTGGGGCGAAGTATTTAGGGCTATATAGCCCCCCAAATGGAGGTTTTTCAGAGGCTCACTCCAAACGAAGTGTTATGAGAAGAAAAAGAAAAGCCGGCAAGATGGCTGCGCGAGTGACTAAAAAACCCCACAAATTTAAGTATTTTCTCCGTTATAAAACTACGATAACCACTGTATTATCTTAGTTTAATGTTGTTTCAATGTACTATGGTCGTTTTCTTCATAACAAGCATAAAAAATCGCTCAAAGTATGCTAATGTCTCAGTAGCTAGCTAGCTATGTTTACCGTTCCACCTTAAATAGTCCCAGCAGGATTGACGCTTGAAGCGCCAGAATGTAACTGCTGCACCATTTAAGGTGGAACGTGGAAATTCGAACAAGAATAGCTTACTTCAGCTTCGTATCACCAAAGACTTAGCGGTGGGCGATTATAAATAATTGTTTTATACCCCCTCTTTGAAGGCATATGATGCTCTAAATGTAAATAAAGCCCAGCGGCGAAGTCGCTGAACTTTTCCCTTCTCTGCTATCACTGAAGACGGGCCAGGTCGCCTACAGAGCACCGCTAGTAGCTGTTAACAAAGCAGTGTTGGAACTCCGTTCCAAGTGGTTAGGGTGACACTCAAAAACAGGGGTAGGGATAAAAAGAAGAAATGGGATTGGGCCTTAGTGTTTGACAGTTTCTCGTTGCAGATTAAACGTATCTGGAAACCGACTGGAGTGATTTTAAATACAAATAAGTCCATTCGTCTCCAAATTATTGATGTTCGTCTTAAATCTGGGGACAGGATATAATAATTTGATTTGTTCTCTGTGAGCGCTGTCACTGAATTAGGACCAATCAAAATCGGCCAAGCCAATCACCGCTTATTAATTGTTGCTGTCCACAGTTACTTCAGCAATCAGCGCCTGTGGCGTTCGTAACCAGCGTCAGGACTCCGAGCTCCTCAGAAGTTTCTCAGGGTTTTATGAGATTCAAAAAGCGATGAAACTACACAGCGAGCAGGGAGAGGTTCTCAGCTGACCTCAGTACAGCGGCTCGGCCATAGACTGACGCTACACAGCCCAGAGAACCAGAGTAACTTTGACTTCCTGAGATGTTCAGGTATGCAGCTCACAGGCTATAAGCTAACACGTAACATCGCTATGGCAAAGTGTAGGTTAGCTACATTAGACTATATTTGTCTCATTAACTATATGAGTATCTGCCTTTCCCTCCAGCTGGGCTTTGGTACAGACAGCCTTTATAACATATGTTTAATGTGTGTTTTTACAATAATCAGTGAGTACAGAGATGCAAAAGAGACAAGCAAAGACAGAGAGAGAGGTAAATGAAACAAGATCAGTTTGATTTAATGTAGGTTTAATGTATTATTTTAGCTGAAAATAAACATAAATAAATAGTTAAATGATTAATTAAACTTAAACAGGGCAATGGAAGTCAAGTTTATGGAAAATTAATAGCAGCTTATGGAAGAATGGAGGGATGAAGAAGGAACAAAATAAAGAAAAAGGTGCATAACAGTTATAGATGGGTAAAAAAGGAGCAGTGATTGAATAAAAACACAAAAGGAGAAACTTATTGTTGCTGTAATTCTCATATTTTGGTAGTTATTTTAATCACAATCAGATGTAAGTAACATTTCTGCAAAATGGAAAATTCTGATCCCAGTTACGGCCCTGTTAGCAGTTCTATGTTAACTCCAGCGTTTAAGACCATTTACTGTTAAAACTGTGTTAGAACGATCAGCAGAGCTGATTGTTATTATGTCATGTCTGTAAATATCTTGCTGAAATGTTTAAATCAGACCTCACACATTGTAAGTCAATCATATCAGCTGAAGACAGGATTTTGGCTAAAATTTCACTAAAATAAACATTATACTTATTCAAAATCTATAATATACAAAGTGAAACAGTGTGAATATCAAATCTACAATATGGATTTGAGCTAGCAGATCTTTTGAGACAACTGTCCATACTAATGTTTGCAAGTGATCAGATCGCATTCGTGTGTCAAGACATGACCAATCTGCATGGATTGCTGTGGTAACAACGCAGGCATCAGTAACTATGTAGCTACACTGGTGATGCAGATTTCAGATGCAGATGCAGGAAAGATAGATGTATGTCATCTCGCCCTCCCAACTTTTCAAAATTCTCTAGCATAAGCATGAATCTTGGGAGTTCACTCTGCATTTGACATTGCCGTTGTTTGTAGCTTTGACACTGTGAAATCTGATTTAGATGGCCAGAGCATCCAGGCTGAGACACATCTGTAAAAATCTGAATTTCATTTCAAATCACCTCCAAATGTGGTTTGGATCCAATCTGCAAAAATCAGATTTCATGTGGTACCTAGTAAATTTAGGTACAATCTGAATGTGTTTTGACCACACAGCCATGTACTTTTAAGTCATGTTTTCTGCTGGGGGAGCATGCCTCCTGTATGAAGTATGAAGAGGCAGATCTACTGGGCCTCCTGACCACCCAACTCCCCCCACCCCCCATTTAAACTTAGCACCCTCTTTCATAAATATCTGGTGATGCATCTGACACAGCTGAGGGCACAGTGCATCTTTACTTTAGGCAGAACAATGTTAAAGCCGTATTAATACATAGGCACTACACAAAAAAGTGCTAAAGTAAATATGATTTACATCAAACAAAACTGGAAATGGTGTAGCCTATAACATGCTATATTTTTTATTTTTTCATCCTTTGATTGTTACCCAGACTCTAAAGAGTCTAAAGAAATTTTGATTTGTGTGGATTGGGCTGTGACAAGGGATACTTGATGAAAAATGTACCCTAAATCACACTAGTACAGCTCTAGTACAGACCAGTCAAACTCAAATCCAGTAGAATAAACACCAAAGAATCTCTTGACTGATCAACATTGTTCTTTATTTCAAAGTCAATAGGAAATTCATACAAGACTCACATTGGTCCTCATTCACCAACTATTCTTAAGAAGAGATTTCTTCTTAAAACCCACGTGTGCAGTTTTCACAAAGATTCTGACATGTACCAATATTTTCTTATTTGGCATTTATTCTAAGAAAACACATTTTTTCCCCTCAAATAAAAGTGGTATTAATCATAATATAGCATTGACATTTTAAGATTGAGACCCTTATTAGTCCCACAATGGGGAAATTTCACCTCTGCAATCGAACCCATTCGTGCAGTGAAACACCACATACACACTAGTGAAGACACACACTAGGGGCAGTGAGCACGCTTGCCCGGAGCCCTATCCGCAGTGCCCGGGGAGCAGTTTGGGGTTAGGTGCATTGCTCAAGGGCACCTCAGTCACATCCCGTCAGCTCAGGGGATTGAGCCGCCGACCTTCTGGTCGCAAGGCTGGTCCCCTAACCTCCAGCCCACGACTGCCCCCATTTCTTGTATTTGTAAAGCTACTACCAATAAAGAAAAAAAGAAATCTTGAAGGAAAAAAAAAATTAGAAGTGGTCTGTAATGCATTTTGGAACAAAACCCTTCAATCATTTTTGTTTTTGATCTTATTGTCATTCTTCTTTTTCCATGCCGGTAATCACTTTTCTTTTAATTCTCCACTATGGTTGTTAATGTGGCTGCAACATGGAAAAAAACTTACATGACTAAAAAACATGAATACAAAGATGGTCTTTTATGTTTTATAGCAGATAACACCTGTGAGTTAGCTCTCAATCTGTGTTTTGATTTGCTATCACACGTAAGATCTCACGATACTCAGCACTGTTAGTATCCTCATGGCGACCTTCAGTCACCCAGTCAGTCAGTCGTTCTCTCTGGTTCTGATCAATGATTCCCATGTCGCTGTACTCTTTCACAAGGCCGAGATAGCCTGCTTTGTAGTAGGCATGTGTGCCTTCCAGAGACAAATCATGCTGATGACGTTGTGTATTTTCACCTGGAAATAGAGAAATAAATGTCTGAAAATAATCATTATTTTTCTGGGAAGACTTGTTACATAAGACTCCAGTTTTAAAGGGGTATTGCAGCCTAATTTTGGTTTAAAATGTTTTGTTGTGTTATGCAGTATTCTTTGACCTAATTCACAATTTTTTATTGTTTTCATTTTTCATCCATGCATGCATCATGCAAAGAAATCGTACAAGCAATGGGAATCCCTGTGCCAACCAATCCTGAATCCTAGCCTAGTCGCTGAACTACAGGCTAATAAATACAAAGAAGTTAGCATTACATTAACTCTTATTTCAGTCATTCTGCAAAAAAAGAAAACAATCATTCTGTTGTTATTCACCCCAAAATTGATGCATTACCCTTTGAGAGAAAAAAAGCCACACTCATACTGGCATCTAGATACCTTTGTAGCTACCCTGCTAACTTTAGTTTATAGCATGTTGTCCTCCTCATCTGATGAGCTGTTTCTGTTTGAGTAACCCATTCTCTCTAGGGTAATGATCTGAAGGCGATTACTATACAGCTGCAATAAGATCTGGTTCTTAGTATTAACACTGACTTCTGCAGTCACCTGCTAAAATTGCGTTTCAAATAGCATGCCCCCCAAAATCCACCCCTAAACAATTCCCCTGACCTTTAAGATATATTAACACATTTTCATTTCCTTTAACTATTATGATGATAAAACCATATGAAAACCAGGTGATGAAGCCATAACACCCTGACCATGGGGAGTAGCAAACCCCTGTTGATGTGCAAGGTTGTTGTGATTACTTGATTAATTATTGTAATTATAATATTATATAATTATATTAAAATTTACATTCTCAACAAATCAAGGTCAATATACAGTCCTCTACTCCACAAATGGGTACCGTTAGCACACCAATGACTTGTGTATCAAAGAAAAAGAGGACACCCACACCAGTAGGATATCACTAATGCATATACATTTTTAGTTACCAATGGCATGTATATGAAGTAAAATTAAATGTCGCTGTTAAAGAATCCGTGTAAGTTCATGTGAAGTAATAAAGTCTTGTATAACCTGATAGTAGTGAGTAGTAGTAGATAAGTGACTCAAATCTAATCGCTACTATGAATATACTTGTGTTCTGAAATGACCTGAATGCACATGTTCTATGAACAACAAACACATTAACCGTCAGAAGAAGTCTACACAGCTCTCAGCTGTTCGCTATTAGAGCAAGAGGAAGGCAAAAAATGGTCTGATGCTTGTGCACTGTTTACTGGTACTTAGGGTTAGGAGCTGCTTCCACATTAACACTGAATGATGGTGCATGCATAGTGGAAAAAAAAAAAAACATGAATTCTGATGAATCTGAAAAGATCAGATTTGGGTGTCCATACAGTCATATTAAGGCAAAAAATTGGATTTGTGCCAGTTTAGCCTGAATAAACATTTTTATTGTTTCCTGTGAACAGACTACTCCAATAATATTCAACTCCTTTGCCCACAGAATGTCCCAATATATGTGCTGCATTTGCGACCTTATTTTGGTGTTTGTGGTTCTTACCTAAATCAGCTCTGAGCTTTTGCGAGATAACTGGGTGATGCAGAATCATGCACTGTTTCAGAAGCAATTCAGCATCTCCACTAACGATGGTGTCTGCAAGCAACTTCCTGTGAGGAATGAGTTGTTAAACTTTTGTTAAAGACACGATTTCAATATTTTTTCATATGTTTAATAGTCAATTGGCAAATGTTTGTAATACTAGAATCCTATTTAATTCTATCTAATATTGCTCCAAATATTCTTTTATATTATTGAGGCACTGAGTCTGTTAAGGGCACCAGCGTTTCACCTGAAGCAGTTAACGTCTCAGATTCTGCTTTAATCTGATCCGGAGATGCAAAATCTAAAACTTACCTGCTCATCTTTGAGTGGTTGCTTGGACCAGAAGTTAAAGCTTGTCTGTGATTTTGGCCCAAAACCTCCATGGCAATCAGATTCTGTCCATTATTATCATTCTGTATGCTGTCAACCAGTTTGTAAAGTTGGGAATTTTTTACTTCCTGCGGATCCAAGTGTTTAATTAACTTCTGGGCTTGTCTAATGGAGTCCTTGGGTGGAATATGGTCTGCATTAAGTGTTCCATTGTTGTTATTAGAGTATTTCCGAGCACTTAGCAAGCTGACAAGAGAATGAGAATTTGTCACACGTCATTCATATCAGTATTTGCCAAAGTAGTATTTCAGGTGGCTCCCTATACAAAATGTGACAGCGGATTGTGCTGTGCTATGAAACTCTGTTAGTCCTTAACTAGAACAACAGTATACCTTTTATATTTGCCAACAAATCCAAGATGGTAGGTTCTGATGATCATGTTTTCGTCTTCACCGATGTTCTTGGTACGCTCAAAATATTCCTGCAAAGCAGCATCTGTCTCCTTTTTGGTTCCTCCAGTTATGGCATATTTCCCTGGGTTTTTGTGTGAGTAGTCATACTCCCTCTGAAGCTTAATGATGGGTGCGTATGATTCAAGGTTTTTCTGAACCTAATCATAAGTTGAGAGTCTCAATTAGGCAGTTCAAAAACATTTTGATTGTCCTGCTTGTTATCACTGCATACATGGATGGGTTTGAGTAGATTCTATGAAATTATGGGCCTATGGCATCAATTCAGATCTGCAGTTTTGGGGATACAGTGACTTGAATCTAGATTACAATTACAATACAAGTACTTTTTAAGTACACACACACCCTATGAGAGAGAATCAATCTTATAAATTGCCATTCCCAGTCCCCACACAAAATATAAAGCATTCAAGTTAAGTATAAATACTCAATCAAGTTACCTAAATACAATAGTGGAGTACTTGTATGCCATTACTCTCTATCCTTCAATGGTATCAGCCTGTATACATAAAAACTCACCACTCACCTCATTTTTCACTTTGTCACGAAGGTTCACAGCCTCTTTTTTTGGGTCATCTGTTTTATTTCCAGTTGATTGTGCAATGGCATGATAGAGACAATTCTGATTATCTGAATTAACAGCTATTATTTTGCCATCATCCTGCACAATGTCAAAATGACCACTGTATAGCTGTTGTTCACCATAGACCTTTGACTTGACCCATGTGACAAAATTTCTTTTCCTAAGAAAAAAAGAAGCAGAATGGAATTTATTGAACATTTTTGCATAAGCATTATTTTCAGATCATATAAGTAAGTAAATGGAAAATACAAAGACAGTCAAAAAGAACTCACATGCATCTATGATATACAGTGTATTCAGCAACAGTTTTTGATGTGTTTAACCTGTCAATACACTTAAAGGAGGATCACCTCATATTCCAATACCCATTGAGGCCCAGTGAGGTCTCCAAGACTACAGGACCTACAAAAATGCTGCTAAACACTATAAACTGTTAGTGTGCATTTACTACTTTGCCTTAATTTCTTGCTGTTCATTACAAAAAATAACCTTTCAGCAATTCTTTTTGACAGTAGTGTTTATCAGCATGTTGTATATCTCAGCAGAGCCCTACAAGATCTCAGTATATTTAGCTCAATATATAGTTATAATTTATGTCTGAATTCCATTTAAAGAACTATGTACTATCTTGCATTTTCTGTTTTGAATATCCATCCTTTCAGTGAAAAGAGAAGATAAACACTTAAAAGAGTTGCTAAATATCAGTGTGTGACATGCATGCATTTGAGCGATTCTTTTAACAGTCTGTTAAGATGGACAAGATGTAGTAATTTCTCTTACTTTGGTGGATGCAGCTCTTTCACACGTTTTGTCAATCTCAGTGTTATATCACCAGCTGATTCATTGGTTCCCGCGTAATGTTCCTCAGACAACCTTTTTCCACGCTCATCAACTACAGTGATTCGAATTCCTTTTCCATCAAGCAGGTCACTTTTTGTGAGCACGTAAATATCAAGGGCTGTTGCAGGGCGATCCACTTTGCTTATGTCTTCTGTGTACTGCATTAGATCCCTCCTGTCTTCCTCTGAAAGACTGTTCACTATATTGTGGCGAGCAGATTTCATGTTGTGCTTATGCCTCTGGTCATCGAAAAACTGTTGAGTTTTGTGTCTGTTCATTAGGTTGCAAACAATCTTTCCAGTGGCACTGTTCAACGTATTCTTAAACGTTTTTGTGATGCAGGAGGTTATATGCCCAGAACAGGCCTTGATAAATGCATCAGAAACACTTTGAGCAATCATGCATAGAGCATCTTCTTTCAAGCGTCGTACATCTTGCAGATTGTGTCGGCCATCTTGGTCATACTTCTCCGTGCCTTGCTGAAGTTCACTGATACTATTCAGTAGTTCAGGAACAAATTTGCTGTCTATTATTGCCTTTGTAGGGATGGCATTCAACATTTCAATGAGATGGGTAGTGCAGTCAGCTACTTTTAAACATAGCGCAGCTCCTTCAGCCACACCTGAGCATTTCGCTTTGTTCAAGATATCTGTTGCGGCGTTCGACACCTCGGAGAGCCTGTTGATTACCTCGTGCACTGTTGTACAGTCCATTATGAGGTGGGGGATAATGTCTTCAGTAAGCATATCAACTGATTGTTTAAATTGTTGCTCATACTTCTGGTCAATCTTGAAGTTATCTTTCTCCAAAGCTACTTTTGGGACACCTGAGCTGATGAACTCACTGAGAGTCTGATCCAGTTTACTGTTCTCTTTCACTGATGAAAACACAATACGTTCAAAAGCTTTCTTTAAAATCTTCTCAAACAGGGCCTCAAGTCCTGCATTAATCGCATGGTTAATTGCAGTGTTAACAGCTTGCTTTCCTATTTCCTGAACCGCAAATTTGGCAGCATGTTTGAAATTCTGTTGTAACGCTGTTGAAGATGTCATCTTTTTCATCGCAGCCCCAAAGGATTCCTTACCAATAGACGATACCCCAGACTGGACAGTTCCTTTAAACGAAGTAAATATGCCTTTTCCTGATTTGATAAAATCAGAGGCAACAGAAGAGAAAGACTTTGTACCATTCAGCAGACCTTTGGTCACTTTATACACCGACTGAACTGCTTTCTTGATGGTGCTGAACCCAGCAGTTAACAAAGATATCCCAATGCTGATACTCTTAGATATTGCCCATGATGCCCAATCAAATGTGCCCTTTATCATGCCTTCTATTCCACTAATCATGTCAGACACTCCTTCTGAAATCAGGCCAAGTCCAAACTGGCTAGCAGCGCCAAATGACAGGGCACAGACAAGAACTCCAGCAATCACCTGGACCACCCCAAGGATGAAACATATCAGGGCATCAAAGCAAAACTTCGGCTTCTGTTTCACTTCAAAAACAACACCAAGGCCATACTCATATAACGCCACTATCTCATTTGTGACAATGAAACTGTTTTCTTTTGACAGTTTGTAGACTGAACAGTCTTCTGTAATGGCATCACTGTTGTTTTCTTCCAGCTCCTTAAGTTTTTCCAGTGCTTTATCAATGGATTCTTTCCAAGACTTGAAAATGTTCATTCTGGTTGCCATCTGATTCTGAAAGTTGTTGCCGTCTGTTTGCTGGGTTTTATTGTTATTAGTGACCGATAAATTGCATGATACCATTGTGTTTGAGACTTCTGAGATATGGACGTCTATGCAGTCTTTAGCATCTTGCAGTAGCCTCCTAGCCTCTGCTTTATAGTCACCCTTGCCAAGATTGATGGTGATATACACCTGGTTATAGAGTGCCACCGCTTTGTAGAAAGGATCACAGTTTTCAACATTTTGCCAATAGGATTTTGCTCCGTAGTCAAGTTCAGATTTGTTTCGGCAGTGTAGGTCAGTTCTGACAATTGCTTGCCTGATGTGATGATAGATATTATCACTTTTTCCTTGCAGCAGTTTCTCACTTGTTTCATTCATTGTGTTCATAAGGTCTGTTTGAAGGTCATTGAACGCTTCATGCCTATTAATGTTCTCCTCATGAAGTGTTAACCACAAGGCCCATGATTCTTTCAAAGCGTTGAGAGCTGGCTGATAATCAAACTTAGACCGATGGCATGTAAAACAGTCAGGAATATCACTGAGCTTCAGTTGGAAGGGATCCTGTCGTTCTTTCTCTGTGTAATGCTTGTCAAAGTCCTTGAGGAATTTACAAAATGTGGAGAAAAGTTTTTCCTTGAGATTTATTTCAACAAGCTCATCACCTTCCATGTCACGTATGCGGTTAATTTCGTACTCTTCTCTCAGTTGTCTCATAATTTCCAAAGGCTGACCTTGGTAAGCAGGTGCAAGATGTTCGCAGTTCAGAATCATTTGGACCATTCCAGGATTTCCTTTGCGAGCTGTGCGGCCAAAGATTTGTTTCTCAACCCGTCGATTGCGTGGGAAATGCGTAAGAAGAACAAAAAGACCACCACTTTCATTCACGTTGTCCTCAACCTTTATGTCTGTCCCCCGTCCTCCAAGATTTGTGGCGATAATAATTCTCCCTCCACAAAATCGCTCTTTTTCAACATTGTGTCTCTCGCTAATTGTGTACAGTGTTATCTGGTCTGGCTTGCATCTTCCTCCTTCTTGCATCTTCCCATGTAGTTCATTTGCTGTTTTAACATCTTCACAAATGACTAAGACAACTTGACCCCTGTCTGCTACTTTCCATGCAGTTTCACAAACAGTTTGGATCCATTGGTTGTTGCCCCCTTTCACCTGCATGGCTGGAAGCTCAACAACCTTTTTATGACGATGAGCAGGTATAGTGTAACTCTTTGTTTCATAATGTCTTGCCAGAAAGTCCCTGTCTGCATCACCTCCTAATGTACCAGAAACCCCAAATATGCCATTACCATCGATGTATCTTTTAAAGTAGTGGAAATTTGACATGTAGTTTGTCACACTGGATAGTGGTGAAATTGCAAGTTGGTGCTTCATCTCCAAAAACTGTTGCAGGCCATTACCCCACTTCTTGTTTTTTTCCAGTACTCCACTCGCTCTGAAGTCCACTGGAATTATGGCATTATACTCATGCTTGTCAGGAGTATGGACGATTTCCCTCTCAGCAGCTGGCGAAATGTCTATCATGTATTCTCTGCCCTGAGTCATCTGAACAGCCTTTAATGCATTCTCTACGAACACCGGTAACTGACTTTCAATATAGTGTTTCAAGAAAAAAGGGATGACTACGATGTTGTCAGACTTCTTGAAATTTTGAGCATCGTTTGAGTATCTGATAGAAGAATTTATCGTTCTTACAGTCACATCGATGAGTGTCTTCTCAGACATCATTTCGCATGCCATTCCACCTTCAAGCAGTAACATTTCAATTTTCACATCACTTTGTTTTTTCTTTGGTAGAAAAGGTTTGGCTTTCCTGCTCTCTTCAGAAAAACACTCAAATACTACACTGTTTTCCAGAACCTCCTCAAATACACTCAAAAGATCATACTGTTGTGAAACTGTAATTGTCTTCATGATGTCAGCAAACGCTTTTGACATGTCATCCTGGAAGTCAATATCTTCGCTTTGTTTTTCTTTCTTTCTCTCAGCTAGACTTATCTTTTCGATGTCCTCTTGGGAAAAGAATCCCAAATTCACCCCTGGCAACAAGATATCATTTGCCGAGAAGTTGTCTGATGTTTCCAATCCCATAACAGCCGCCGTTGCAGCTTTATGAAAGGACTGCATCCTTGTGGCCCATTTTATCTCGCCTGTTTCAAGCATTTCAATTGGCTGGCATGTAGATGTCATGGTCCATATGTTGGCAAGAACTTGCTCCACATGCCTCAATCCACTGGCTTCATGGGACAGGAATGTTACTTGAACTCCATTGTCCAAGGTCATATAGTCCACTTCATCTACTATTACAAGCTTAAATTCCCTACTTCCACGTGTAGTTGTCTTCTCAAATTCTTGTCTCAGTGTGTCTGCTGCAAAGGTGCCAACTGTTCCATACACTATTTGCTTTTTATATGCATCTTGAAGCAGCCTGTCTTGTTCCTCAGAAGAACAGTCACCCGAAAAAGGTGGAGGTACTACAGATGAAGTGACGCCTAACATCTGAAACAACTTTTGCCACTCTTCTTGATCTCGTCGTGCAAGAACAGGAGAGCTAGTCACAATGTCCACATTTACTCCACGAATGGCTAGGATTGAAGCAAACATGGCTAAGATACAGGACTTGCCTTCACCAGTGCCAATCTCAAGGAGACAACCCTTATTTCCTGTCAACTGCGACAGCAGTAGTAAGAGTAATGATGCCAGTTGTGTAAGTCTTGGAAAATAGCCTTGAATCACCTGGTTGTCTGATGTGGTGATCGTTGAACTGTCTTGCACAGCTATTGACAGTCCTATTAAAACATCCTTCAGAATACTAACGTCTGGATTTGCAAGATCAAGAGACTTAATCTTTCTTTTGCCACTCTCTATTTCCTCTTTGTTAAGGTCCACCAATTGATATTTTGGGAGCTCTGTTTCCAGATACCTAAGCACATCTTCCAGCACAGCCATGACATTCTCTGGGCAGTTTGCTTCCTGAAGCTCCCTCAAAATTGTGTCAGCGTCTTTATCCCTGTCATTTTTTACTTGCTCTTGTAGAAACATTAGAGGACTTTCTGTCTTGAGAGAAGAGAGTATGCGGAGGCAGCCTAGCTGGTAGGTCTGTGCTGTGTGGAGAATTGAATGTATTTGACTGCATTCGATAGCTGAAATTTTGCGAATGAAGAGCATTATTTCTGTGGGTGTCCAGACCCTGTTGAATAGCAGTTGACCCAAAATCTCCCTACTTTGCGGCGACAGCTCTGAAATTGAATCAAGAATATTTAACAAAATGTGTTCGGCCAAAGTTGGATTTGTGTCATAAAGTTGTTCAACCAAACTGAAGAGAAAATCGTATTTCTTCTCCCAACCAAGGGTCTGTTCAGTGTCCTGTTCTGTGACAGTGACACCATGCAGTGTTAACTGCAGAATTGCCTCAAGGACTGTAAGCTTCTCTGTCAGCGATAGCTCTTCATACCCTACAGCATGGTCAAACGTAAACTGAGACCACATTGAAAGCTTGTTTTCTCTACAATATTGAATTGCCAGTTCGTTATGAAACATCTTAATCCTGTCTTCAAGCTTGTAGGCTTCTAAGACTTCATCTTCAGTGATTTGATACTTGGAGAGGAGGCTTTGAAATTTTTCTTCCACATCAGTAACCTACAGTAAACAATGGGCAAAACAGAAAGCCAAAACACAGAAAATAAGTCTCAGTTCTAAATGAATTTGAATCTAATAGTATACTTACTATTATATTTCTTATATATCGTGGCAAAGTTATACCTCATTCCTCTCAATTGCAGCTGCATCATCCTCTATTTCCTGATGGAGAACTTGAGTGCGTTCATGGTGGTGCGCATGGCCTTTGAAGCTCTGTTTTTCACGAAGTCGCTCACTTGCTCGAGAAAGCTTAATTCTGGAAGACTCGCTCTCTTTGTCTATCTGTTCCTGAATCCGTCGCTCCCGTTCCAAGCGTTCCAGACGTCTCCTTTCTTCCTCTTGCCGCCTCCATTGTTCTTCCTGCCGCCTGCGTTGTTCTTCCTGCCGCCTGCGTTGTTCTTCCTGCTGCTTTTGCTGTTCTTGCCTCTTTTTCTCCTGTTCATTATGGATTCGGTCCGCTTCCAATTTTCCTGTGGACCATCCAAATACAACATTAATTGTTTATTTTCGCTAATATCAGCAGCTATGAAACTCATTACAGTCACAATGGGTGGTAACTGGGTGGGTGGTTTTGTACTAAATTCTTGCTATTTGAAATTTTTTCTTAAAATGGTTTAGCTAGCTAGCTAACTAACTGAACATTTGAAATGGCTTGATTTTTTTTAGTTATAGTTTAGACGTGATATTTATTTGTTAATTATGTTTTAGGTTAGTGAGCTAAATAATGGGGCTTAGCTGGTTGCAGCCTAACTGGTTAGCCTAACACAGTAATGGGTGTAGCCTTCCATACCAGCCACAAGCTGTGCAAATGTAATGAACAAAGTGAGGCATGTGCGAGAGTGTTTTACTGTGGGGAACCTAAGGGCCAGCCTCAGCATAGTAATCCCACCTCCCAGGCATGTACATATTCAAACAAAATATGGAAAAATACAGACTTATAAAATAGCATAGAGTGGGAAGTCAGGGTGGTGCTGGTAGAGCACTAGTCTCGCAGAGCCAGATGAGATCTTGATACCGAGAATACATGTCTGGGGACAACCATCAGAACCATCAGGGCTGTGTGAGTGGGAACGTAGACTTATTATGCCACATGAAGGCAAAGTGTTGTTCAATGGACAACAAGCCTGTGTACTCACCACTGAAAAATGATATGAATTTGTTCATAGCTAGGCTAGGCTTGGTAGACTAAACCTTTACCATATCCTGTTGGCAAACAAGACAAGACATTTCTTCTCCTGAGTTCCTGGTTCTTAGAGGTGGGTAGTTCAGGGCAGAAAGTAAAAGTTCTCCTCAGGATTTTGTTCCAACTGCCTGGATACATGAGTTAAAGACAGCGTTAACAACAACTAGCTAACTTGTTTTGCCTGTGTTATCAAATTTACTCAATGTTAAAAGAGCATGAGCTAGTGTGAGCTAGCATGGGGAATTTGGGGGTGGATGTTAGAGGGGACGCATCCTTATTTATGGTGGATTTTGCCATAATCCAGCACCAAATGTTTAACAGGTTGTCCCCAGACATGTATTCTCGGTATGAGATCACATCTGGCCCTGCAAGACTAGTAGAGCCCCTTACAAAAAAGAAGTTTATTCAAGTGTGCTATTAGTATACTTCTTTTAAACTAAAAAATAAGTATGTTTTCAGTATACTTTTATGTACTTATCAGAGATACACTAAACAAAATTATACTGAGGTATACTTGGCTGAAATCCTTTGATTGAGATGTACTTAAGACAAGTATAAGTAAGTATAAAGTAGCAAATTGTCTCCATTTGTAGATTGTTTACCCTACTGTAGACTGGTGAATTTCTAAAGTCTTTGAAATCACTTTGAAATCCTTTCCAGCTTTATGTAAATCAACAATTTTTGATTGTAGATCCTCTGAAAGCTCTTTTTGGCGAGGCATGGCTCACATACGCGTATCCTTCTTGTGCAGAGCAAACTCAAAGTTTGAGTGGTTTTTATCAGTCAAAGTAGCTCTAGTCCACACCTCCAACCTCATTTTCTTAACAAGACTCCAGGTTTGCTAACAACTGACTAGCTTTTTTGAGATCATTAACTCAAGGGTTCACATACTTTATCCACTAGCACTATGAGGTTTTTATGGTTGTTCTCAATAAAGACATGAATAATCCTTTTTTTTTTTATGTCTTATTATTTTAGGCACATTATATTTGTCAATACGCTTGACTTGGATGAGGTTCAGATCACATTTTATGACAAATTAATGCAGAAAAGCATAAAATTCCAAACGTTCTAAAAGATTAACATACTTTTTCTTGCCACTATATATATATATATATATATATATATATATATATATATATATATATATATATATATACACACACACACACACACACACACACACACACACACACACACACACTATATTCGCTCATCTGCCTTCACACGCATATGAAATTGAGTGAGTGAGATCCAATTCCTAATCCATAGGGTTTAATATGATGTCGGCCCACCCTTTGCAGCTATAACAGCTTCAACTCTTCTGGGAAAGCTTTCCACAAGGTTTAGGAGTGTATTTATGGGAATTTTTGACCATTCTTCCAGAAGCGCATTTGTGAGGTCAGACACTGATGTTGGACGAGATGGCCTGGCTCACAGTCTCCGCTCTAATTCATCCCAAAGGTGTTCTATCGGGTTGAGGTCAGGACTCTGTGCAGGCCAGTCAAGTTCTTTCACATCAAACTCGCTCATCCATATCTTTGTGGATCTTGCTTTGTGCACTGGTGCGTAGTCATGTTGGAACAGGAAGGGGCCACCCCCAAACTGTTCCCACAAAGTTGGGAGCATGAAATTGTCCAAAATCTCTTGGTCTGCTGCAGCATTAAGAGTTCCTTTCACTGGAACATTAAGGGGCTGAGCCCAACTCCTGAAAAATAACCCCACACCATAATCCCCCCTCCACCAAACTTTACACTTGGCACAATGCAGTCAGACAAGTACCGTTCTCCTGGCAACCGCCAAACCCAGACTCGTCCATCGGATTGCCAAACAGAGAAGCGTGATTCGTCACTCCAGTGAACACGTCTCCACTGCTCTAGAGTCCAGTGGCGGCGCTTTACACCACTGCATTCGACGCTTTGCATTGCGCTTGGTGATGTAAGGCTTGGATGCAGCTGCTCAGCCATGGAAACCCATTCCATGAAGCTCTCTACGCTGTTCTTGAGCCAATCTGAAGGCCACATGAAGTTTGGAGGTCTGTAGCGATTGACTCTGCAGAAAGTTGGCGACCTCTGTGCACTATGTGCCTCAGCATCCGCTTGCACAGGTGGCATCCTATCACGGTACCATGCTGGAATTCACTGAGCTCCTGAGAGCGACCAATTTCACAAATGTTTGCAGAAGCAGTCTGCAGGCCTAGGTGCTTGGTTTTATACACCTGTGGCCATGGAAGTGAATGGAACACCTGAATTCAATGATTTGGATGGGGGAGTGAATACTTTTGAAATATAGTGTGTGTGTGTGTGTGTGTGTGTGTGTGTGTATGTGTGTGTGTGTGTGTGTGTGTGTGTGTGTGTATATGTATATATAATAATTTTACTTGTATACTTAAAAGTATGCTTTTATAAACTAAAAAGTGGGCCAATTTAGTCCCAAGAAGTACTTAAACAGTACACTTACAAGTATGCTACTATTACATTGACATTAGTGTACTTATTACATAAGGTATACTTGGAAAATATACTTAAATTTTACTTACGTTTGCTTAATAAAATGAAGTAAGGGGCATGGAGAAGAAATACAAACAGAACTACCGTTGAGGCTCAGGAGGGGGCGTTTGTGACAGCAAATCTGTTTTTTGCTGCTAATCATGAGCATTGTGCTACACAAAGTGCAGCAGCAGTCCAGCAGTGTTTTTCACTTAGGGCTTCCATAAAAACACAAGGAAACATTCCTCTTTGCAGGGCTATGCTGTCTCTTGTTTAGAGTGTAAAAGTTGTGAATTTGAAGCCTTTGGGAATGCACAGAATCAGAATTAGGGCATTCTCTCATTCACAGATTCCTCAAGAAGCAGAAACCTGATCTCTCTGATAGCTGTGCAAGGTGCTGCCAAGATTAGCTCTGTAAAGGTGAATAATCTGTACTAAACAGTAATTATATAAATATGTTTATATAACGTATAAAAATGTGTTTTTATGTGCTGATACCACTACTAATTATTGGTAGACAAAGAGAATGATAACCAACATATTGGGCCAGTTTTACTTGGTCACAAATTTGAAGTCTGAATAGTGTGAAAATGTATAGGAACACAATTCCTACACAAAATAAACATTTAAGTGAACATAATGTTTAATGAAATACTAAAACTGAAGATTGGAAAAATAAAATACAAAGAGTTTCAGACAGTACAAATTTGGAAATTATCATGATAAATTTAAAATAGCATGAAATGTTTATCTGTAATTATCTCATTATAATTCTTATTATTTTTGTAAAAGTTTTTTTTTTTTTTACCAAGTTTTCAGTCATTTTCTCTGCATTTCTGTGTCTTCAAATGTCATTTGTTGTAAAACCAAGGCATAGGCTACCATCCTTAAGATGGTCTAAAGACATACATATCCAGAATTACAGAATCTGACTAAACTAGGTAAAAACAAGCTTGAGCCTGCACAGTTTTCTCTCATAAGCTTAATCTCTGGTAGGTCATCAGGGCATGGAGTAGGGTTGCAGTGTATTGGTATCTGTACCAACACTGGCAAATAAACGCAGTATTCTATCAGTGATGGGGATTCCCATTTTGTCCTCTAAGGTATACTATTGTACACCCTATGGCATTTTGTGCTCTACTTGTGAAAAAAAGCGACTACAAGCTTGACACCGTTGTGTGTCTGTTGTGAAACCTAAAATGAGTCGTATCAGATATTTTCCATCTTTACTATGATATTGCAACCAACAAAAATTACAGTGAAAAACACTTCCTCACATGTACTACGGTGGCACAATGAAGTAATTTCTCTCAAATAAGCGTTAGAACCCTTATGTTTTGGCATCTTACTTACAAACTAAATTATGAATGATGAGAATGCCTTTGTTGTGGCAAAATAAATAATTAAAAGCAAACCCAGCATCACAGAAAGCCCACCGCATTTCTCAACAACCAATAGCAAAGCACTCCTGTCTGGAGCTATGAGCCCAATGGACCCCTGGAGCTATGGGAGTTGAGGCAGAAGCTGCTGAAGAGCACATGGACATCGCTATGGAAGAGACATAACTCTCTGACAGCCATTCTCTAGATGAGAAATGACCAGTAGACGACCATAACTACTAATATCAGTTTTTCCCCTCAGAATGAATCAGCTCAAAGCTGGACAGCTGACTTTCTTTTAACTGCACAGCTAACTTTTTTCTGATTAAAATATTACAAAAATCAGAGCTTTCATAGGAAACAAACTATGTTTAATGGAAAATATTACACTGAAGTGAAAAACATGCAGCCAGATGTTCTCCAGAATTTATTGCACAGTTCATTTTGCTATGGACTCTGAGTGGAGGTGGGAGGCTAGGAACCACCCCAGGTGTGTGTGTGTGTGTGTGTGTGTGTGTGTGTCGAGAGAGAGAAACAGAGAGAGACATGAGCTGGGTAGAGAACGAGTTGTTAAAGAGAAAAAAGCTTCACTTGTGTATAGCGTGGCTGTGGCTCACAACAGCTGGAAAATAAAGCACCACAACTTGTGCAAAAGCAGTGTCTCTTTTAATAATGGGGAACACTACAATATTCAGCATCCAGCACTAAACTTTATAGCAGCTATTGCTGAACCACTGGGAGAGTAACTGCAGACCACAAACTAAGATTTAGCGTTTTAGCTGTTAGAAAAAACAAAACGCAATATAAACTGTTACTAATTACTAAAATATCTGAAACAATGTGATACACTTTCAAAATGAAACAAACCAGGCTTATCACAGCTTTCACTAAACTATGTCCACTCATAGTAACAACAAGTTTTCAAAATTTAACACATTAACTCATATTGTCCGTTGTTAAATTATTGCCATTTTTCTCTTGGTTTTGGACCAAATATTATGTTTAAAACAGTGATAAATAGGTCTCTAACTGAAAAAGGTCAATCCTGGTGGGGTCTAAAGGGTTAACAAAAGACAAAGCTTGAATAAACTGAATAAGGACGAAGAACGAGAACTGAAGTATTCGATTATTCACACCAGCCCTACAAAATCCAGTTTAACCTCTAGCACACAACTCAGTATGTAAAATATGTAAAATATATATGGACACACTACATACTAAAGACATACTAACTATAATTTGAACTGAACAACACACTTTAATTGTAGGTAATTTGACAACAACTGGGATTTTTACCAGCTATCTGCACTGTAAATTACAATACTATAATTTACTAGAAAGTTTTAACCAAATTGACATACTTTTGAACAAACTGACACTCAAAGAACTGAAATTTTCAGAAAAGAAATGTAACTAAATATTGTGAAATCTAACTGGAATTTGAGCACATTTTACTTAGAAAAATCCTGAACTTCAGAATTTATGTACTACTTTATTTAAGAACTCATTTAAAATTAATTTATAGACTTAACTCGAAATAAACTAGTTAATGTATAATTTATATAAGTGAGGCATTGAGTTTCCTAACTTTTTCAAGTAAACTCAATGTTTAGAGTTTATAGTGTGTCTGCAGTGCTTGTCCAAACTAGCAACCGTCACCTATCACATTTGTGAGCAGAACATGGATTAAATCAACTGGCCTGCTGCTCTCTGGGTGGGAAGGATGGTCTTGTTTCCTTTCCCTCTATCATTCAGGGTGATGCTAGCCAATCACAGGTGTCTGTTAGCTCATGTATACAAAGTTGGGCAGTTAGGGTTCTCCTCAAAGAGCATTCAGCTGTCCAGTGACATGTGAGAAGAGTCTCATGAAAGGATCTAATGCAGGACACTGAGAGCACAGTTATGGCTGGAGAGGTCCTGCACAGCGCTGGCAGAAAGGCAGAAGTACCAAGAGGAGTGAACATCTGCATACTTATTCACACAATGGACATGAGAGAGAGAGAGAACAGGCAGACTGTCCTGCTCGGTAGGGGTGGATAGTCATTATTTGGACAAATTATGTCCCTTGTGTGAGTATATCAGTATCATCAGTAGTTCCAGAACACTGAACAACTGCATGGATTATAAAAAGTCTTGGGCTCAGGTCAGAGAGAAATGGTCACGGAAGAATAGGGAGACGTAGGGGAGAATGGAACATGAGAAGACCTTCTAGCGTCCCACAACAGAAAGAGTGGGGAAAGACTGGAGAAGACTAAATGGAGCAACGGAAACAGACAATGGACAAGAGAGAGAATAGACTGAGAACGCACAAGAAATCTCTGTACTGACCAGTGATCCACATCTGTATACACTATAATATATAACATACAACATACAAATACATAAAATACATAAAAACCCACATATATTATCCGTTACTGTGCTCTCATTAAAGTAATGTCATTATTTGGTGCTTTGGCGCCCTCTTGTGGTCAAGATCTGCAACTGGCTTATCAAGAATCAAAGAAATGCTGGGATTAATATAGTCTGAACCAGTTATTCAAATGCCACATAAATCGAAGACCATATACAAAGTCTAAAGAGTAGTATACACAATTAGACACATCTTTAAACTGACATAAATACACAATGTAAACAGTGGAACCATGCAAAACTGCACACGTAACATTGTTGCCATTGTAAGCACATTTTTGTTGTGAATAATTTATTGTCTAAGAATGTGCACATAAAATTTACAGCTGCTTCTTGCTACATATAAAGTATGTGTACTTTCCAAAAGACATCCGAATGTCTTCTTAACTTTGAAGAACTGACATGACTGCAGTAACTAATAATGATGATAATACGGGAATCCAAACTTAGCAGTTAGTATAAATGGAAGCAAAGGAATGTTCCATTCCTCTATTATTATTTCCATTTATGTTAATCTGTAGCTTGTTGGTTACAACATCTTGGAGTTATATCACCAATGCTTACAGGCTTACAGTGATGCATGTGCAAGAACCTGGTCCTGAATGGATCTTGAAGGGTTGCTGACTGTGTTTGGATGAAGCACAAGATACACAGACTTGAGAGGGTTTGCAAAGAATTAGTCTGCTGTATTCTGCAAAACGTTGCCATGGAATAAAACCCAGACAGTTCCACTTGACAGTGGCCTATTGCCTTGATCTTCACAACTCCACAGTGTGGATATTTAGTTAGCAGCAAGAGTAAATAGAACATTTTTAAAATTGTGTAAGTAACACATCCTTTTCTTTCATTTCTTTTGCGCAGGCATGTTGAGTGCTTACTGTTCATCTTTGTCAGTGGGTCTGATGGCTTCTATAATGGTCATGTATAATTCATGGACCTGGATTATGGTGATGGTATGGTAATTGTAAAGAAGTGTGCCTCACCTAAGCTTAGTTGCCATTTACTAAAATGCACATATTTCAGGGGGGCTCAGTCCTGGTTCTGGAGATCTACACCACCCTACAGAGTTTAGCTCCAACCCAAATCTAGCATACATAATCCAGGTAATGGAGGCTTTAGAGACATCTGAATATTAGAACCAGGTTTGTTGGATGTAAACTTTTTAAGGTGGTAGATCTCCAGCACCAGGATTGGATATCCTGACATGCCCCACCCCCCAAAGATTTTCATTTAAGAAAACAAGACAAGATATATGGTAACCCTACAAAATCCTGAGACTAGATTCAACCCTATTGAAGTAATTCAGAAAGCAGTAACACCTCTCAAAACAACAAAAACTCTTCTGCAATTCATAGCCACCACAAAAAGCAGCATCTGATAACAGTAGCAAGCGACCAACAAAATACTTTTTTATCCAGTCTCTCTGTCATTATTATTATGGTTCCAAACACAAAGTGCTGGAACCCTATTGCAATTGTTAGTTTTTCTTCTTTTTTTTTTCTTTACTGAAATGAATGATACAGACCAAACCGTAAGTCATACAGACATGAAACTTGGTCAGTAGACAGTAGTCTCTCCCGTTACTCATACATAGTATGTCAAACTAACAAAATTACTTACCGCTGACTACAATTACGCTCTACAAAAAGCCACAAGAACCATATAGCTTCACATTCTTGATTTTGAAATCAAAAATAATCTCTGGGTTTTTGCCTGAGATGCACAAATCTGGTGTCAAAAGAATCCTAAGAGACTGAAAATAATGATTGTCATTGCAACACGGTGTAGTGTCCTTAGAGGTGACGCTCACATTGTATGAGTTACGCGTATAGAGCTCTAACTTAAAAACGTTTTGACTGATTGTTATGAAACTTCAGTGCAACTGCATCACTACAATAACATGCTTATACATTTCTTACACACATGCAGTTGGGATTAAATAATGCACATTTGTGAGCCTGACAACTTTGTCCATACAAGTCATTTACTAATTTTTATCACTTTTCTACAAATGCTCATTGTTTGAAAAACACACCTTTCAAACTAGTCCTGCAATTTACACCCGACCATCTCAAAACTTATCTTGAAACAAAGCGTAGAGTCTGAAAGTCACAATCTATTTGGGCAGAGTTTCAGAGGTTTTATATATCTGTTAGCTGCAACGTACAAATACATTGTCCGATTGAGACAAAATTTGATACTGATATACAGGATAATGCTCGGAAGAAACATGATAATTGTGGTGTAAATAAACCTCCAGGGATGATACAATATGGGATCACATATGAATGAAATAAACTTAACATATCTCTTGCTCATTTAAAATTAAGAAGTGCACATGTATCAAAATACTTAAGTCTTCAGTCTGAACAACTTGTACAGGTGGTCTAATATTTTATTTACATTTTCAACACAATAGTGCAACGACAAGAATACGTCTCATTGAGCAGGTATAAGTTTGTTGTCAATGCCTAATGTTGAAATAGGATGCAAAGACTGATAGACATGTTAATAGGTCTTACTAAAACAATAATTCCACATGGTGAACCTATCTGCAAATTCATTACATTATGAAACAGTAATTTCTGACAGTCAAAAGAAAAACGCAGATATCAGTTCAAAGTCTGTTCTACTATGCGCATACCAAAGATGAAGATGAAATCCATTACTGTAGCAGCTTAAAGTATCCAAAATAATTACATTACCCTACTTCAGTCTTTTGTTGGATATACCTGCAAAACAGTGCTTGGACCCCTATATTGCCACTTGCACTTGTTGACTCGTGAAACTTTTTTGAATGACTAGTTGGAAAAAAAAATTAAAGTATAATGCAAGTCCTAGTTACTAGTCAGTGGGTCAAATGGTTTTGAGAAATGTGTTGTACTCCAATACAAATATTATTCATTGCATGCTTTGGTTGCAAATGTTTTTCTTATATACATTTTGAAAGTTTTGAAGGGACTTACCATAGTTTTGACACTGTGGAACATTTCTTTCAGTGCTGCAGAACAGTTGAATGCAGGAGCGGTCATAGCTTTCCCGTAGGGTAAATGTGGGGTTGCCCTTATTGCTATTGAATTCATATGAAAAGCTATTCCAACTGTGGTTTTGATATCTTAAGTAGATGTAGCAATGGATTGCCTTGTTCTCATCATACTCTGCCCTGCAGCCACTGCTAATGGGTTGAAATCCCTGAGGAGCAGAATTATAAATCTGTTTCATCAGCAATATCATAAAATCTCAGTAGCATAAACAGTTGTAGGCAAAAGTTTTGGAGCCCCTAGTGAAATTACACAACGTTACATCTTGTGATTTTTTTTAGGAAAAATGTGTCCTGTGCAAAAGTTATGGCATATTTTATAGTTTATGTTTTTATGGTTAATTTTACCACATAAACTCTTTTTCTGCGCTAAAATTGGCAGAGAAAGGCCACATTTGTTTGTTTCCCATAGAGGATGTGTTGTTGTATTTTCAATTAGAAAATCAATAAAACATGTATTCAGACTTTTGCATATCACTGTACAGTAGATCACAACAGTAGGACTGTGAACAAAATCACATAAATTACAAATAAAGATTGCGAGAATATTTCATTATGCCAACCAGCAGTTTCCTGGCATCTAGTTCTGTGATCATTATAAGGAATACTTTCTGAGTTTAAAATTCAGAGGTTAGCATTTGTCAACATTGATCTAGATTGCACTCTGGATATCTTAAATATTAATAAATGCAACAAGAGGTCTTACCCCCGACTGTGATCTGGAGTAGTACCAAGTATAGGGAGTTTCATTCTTGACTGAAACCTTTGCACCCATCGTTCAGGATCTGCTAGCAAAGCATTAATCATGCTTAATATTGCGTAAACGAGTCAATGCACAGTCAAATTCATAAACACAATGTTGAATGGTGAACTACAAGTGGTTCAGATTTTAAGAGAATGTACAAAGAAAAGTGAATCAAAAAGCAAACCTGATTTTACTGTTGAGCAGAGTCACCCATTGCTGTGAAAATAACTGAAGCAGTGTGCAGCTCATGCGCAGCGTTTACACTACAGGCTTTCCTGAACATTCCCCTCTTTTAACCGTAATGTAGCTCCGCCCTGTGATGTAAAATATCAGGCCCAGTACTTTCATTTTGATTCTTAAGATGTAATTATGCATGAGTTTGCATGTTCTCTGCGTGTCTGTGTGGGTTTCCTCCCACAGTCCAAAGATATGCAGTCAGGTGACCTTTGAGTTGTGAATGTAAATGTTTTCCCTGTGATGGACTGGTGACCTGTCCTGCCTTCTGCCTTATAATTGCTGGGATAGGCTCCAGCACCTCCTGTGACCCAGGAGGATGAGTGGCTTCTAAAGGTTTTACTGTAAGGGGGTTGTTGATTTCAGTTCAAGTTTAAAATGAAAAGTGTCCACTGTGGTTAATTAGAACTACAGCTCTAAGGGAAAAGCTGTTAGCATCAATCAGTCAATCAAATCAATCTTTATTTAAACTCAGAATACATTGAGGGAGACCCTCATTTACAATGTAGCCAAGTAATACATGAATCAGGGATTGAGAAGTTGTACAGTAAAAAAAATAAATCAAATGCTATAATCAAATAAGACAAATCATAAAGTAAAATAATAATAAGAAGGTACCAATAAACTGTCAAATCAATAAATGGTTAAAATTACAATATAATAACTTATCAAGTAATTAATATAAATAAAAGCATAAATTAATGAAAAAAGATAGATGTAAGACAATAAATTGACAATGATATCAATATAAAGAATACTAATAAGAAATAAAAAGAATAAAATAAATGATAAAAACTAAAGAGATTAAAGTACAAAAGTAAAAGTAAAGCAATAGCTAAGACATAGCTAAAACATACCAAAAGTTAAGTAAAATCAAATAAAGCAGTGTCAGGCTGATTGGAGGTGGTTAGAGACTAAAAATTTAAAATGTTCATGTGACACCAGAGAGCGAAGCTTTAGAGTTTCCTGTAATGAATTCCAGCTCGCTGGTGCACTGTAGCTAAAAGCAGATTTTCCCAGCTCTGTAAAAGCTCTCGGCACCTAAAGGGTGATCCAGTCACTGGAACGAGTCTGATAAACTGCATTATTTACACTGAGCATTTCTGTGATGTACGATGGCCAGTAAGCGCTTTATAGATAAAAAAGAAGCCAATGTGTCTCCCGATGCACAGACAGAGATGACCAGCCAAGCTTTTCATATAGTAAACAATGATGGGTGTTGTAGGGGTCACCGGTAATGAATCTTAAGGCAGCGTGATATACAGGTATACAGAGTCTAGAGATTTCAGAGTAGTTACAGGTGCTTATCTGTATAACGTCATCATAATCCAGAACAGGCAATAATGTTGCTTCAATGATCTTTTTCCTTGTGTGCTTTGGGAAACATACTTACGATACAGGGAGCCAAGTTTTTGTCTCGGTTTACAGGTAAGTTTGTTAACATGTTGTTTAAAGGTGCATTTGTCATCTAGCCATATTCCAAAGTATTTGTACTCATTGACTCTTTCAATGTCAGATCCCTTCATGATTGTGATTTTAAAAGTGCTAGAATCAATGTTAGAGGCTCTGGAAAACAGCATAAATTTAGTTTTGTCAGCATTTAAAACTAGTTTATGGGTGTAAAAAGCCGATTGTAGGACATTAAAAGAATGCTGTAGTTTATGTACTGCAGCACCAGTATAGTCAGTCGAGCAGTACAAGATAGTGTCATCAGCATACAAGTGTACTTTGCAGTCAACAATTGAGGTGGCAGTGTCATCAGCATACAAGTGTACTTTGCAGTCAACAATTGAGGTGGCAGTGTCATTTGTATAAGTATTAAATAATACTGGTCCAAGGATCAAACCTTGAGGGACCCCATTTGTTATTGGAAGTAGCTCTGATTTATTCTGTCCAAGGGCCACACGTTGCTGTCCATTGGAGGGATAGTTTCTAATCCAGTTAGTAGCCCTGAGATCGAAACCAATGTTTTGTAGACATTTTAAGAGTAGGGAATGATCAACTGTATCAATGCTTATGTGTTTTTAACTTTTCTTTTTGATTGAATTTAGGTATTTATGGCTGAAATTGAAGGCCTAATTCTAATAGTCATGGCTCACCATTGGATGGTCAATTAGCCTAGCGGTAGAAGCGGCAAGCCTGCTTAGGCAAGGCACTTTATCCTCTACTTTCCCATTGTTACAGCTGCATATTACAGTTGTCATTGCAAATAATAAAAAACTTTGATGGTTTTGCACTTGAATTTGACAACTGCTATTTGTCTAATGAGCAAGAGTGTTGAGCAGTAAAATGAAAAGTACAGACATGGCCTAACTCAAAAGTATAAGAAAACATTCATTTCTCCTCATGGAAGCCCAGTATGAAGTGTAGAAAACTGGTGATAGAATTGCACAAATACACACGAATGCTGGGGCGTCCAGGAGACATCTGGAACTAAACTGTGTCCTTCAAACTCACTCACGAGTTATCTAATTTTTAATATCTTGTTACTTTTTACTGTATGTTTATTTGTATTTATTCTAATGGCATACGGTGCTTTTACAGGCAAAAGCACACTTATTGTCAAGATAAATAGCTTTAAATAATGTGCTTAGATGCCCAAGATTTTTAGTCTGTACTTGGTCTTTAAATGACCTTTTAAATGTTTACTTAAGCTTTCACTTTTACTTCCTGCCTCAACTTCTGCTATTGTGGCCAATGTGCTGACTACTGTCATGTACGCTGACTGTTACGACCTCATGGTGTGTCCTTGGGGGAAGTCAAGAGTCAAAAACATATTTTTACAACGAGCAGTGAAAGTGAAGCAGAGACCAAGGGGAAACACAGATGTACAGAATAAGCTCACCACTATTTAATGTGTTGAAGTGGTCAACACCAGACAAGAGACCAGCTACAAGCAAGGCAGCCACCAGCATGTAATTAATTATACTGTTATATACTAATTATTTACACTGTGCTTATATACTAATATTACAATTACATAAGTAGCACATAAGCATAAGTACCACATAAGCAGTATGTATGTGGTAAGCAGGTTAAGGCTTGGAGTGTGTATGTATGTGTGTTGGGGGGGTGGATTGTGGACAGTGCCTAAGCATTGTAATCATCAAAATATAATACCTAAAAATCTCTAACACCAAGGAGGTGTAACTATATACTAAAGTGGCCAGTCTGTGTATTTGTTAGGTAGGTTCAGGCCTGAAAAAGCTCTGAAAAGCATGCACTATAGGTGTTATAGGTCTTATGTAGTTTTTACTGGGACATGCTTGACCTTTAAATGAATTAATCTTTCACTTTAACTTCCTGCATCAACTTTTGCTATTGTGGCCAGTGCACTGACTAACGCCACGTGTGCTGACTGTTACGACCCCAGTGTGTCCAGGCGGGATATTTTTATAACGAGGAGTGAAAGTGAAGCAGAGGCCAAAAGGAAACACAGATGTACAGAGTAATGTCACCACTATTTAATGTTTTAAAGTGGTCAGAACACAAGACAAGAGACCAAGTAGACAGTTACAAGTACAGTTGACTATGGACGGGGCTAAAGCAAAACATGAAACAGTGAAACTTATTATTGTTTCTCCGATGAAGGAAAAGGTGTGCATCCCCTGCTAAAGTGGAATGCTCGTGGAAGGTCTTACTTAAAGAGATGGTGGAGGAACTGAGAGAGAGTGGAAGACTGCACAGTGGAAGCAGGAGAGAAATAAATTGATTGAAGAGAAAGAAAACCTGCAGGCTGAAATGAAGGTTTATCAGGCCTGCCTTTAAGAAGAGGCCAGCAAGATGCAGGAGGAACTGACCTTCAAAGCTTTCACTTTTACTTCCTGCCTCAACTTCTGCTATTGTGGCCAATGTGCTGATACTGTCATGTATGCTGACTGTTACGAACTCATGGTGTGTCCTTGGGGCGGTGGCGGGGGGGGTCATATTTTTACAACCAAGAGTGCAAGTGAAGCAGAGACCAAGAGGAAACACAGATGTACAGGAATTTGAGAGCGAGAAGGTGGCTAGAGGTGGCGAGAGAGAAGGACAAGGCCAAGCTGCTGGAGAAGATGGGGACTGCCATGGCTCTGGAGTGCGAGCAGAGGATGATAGAGAATGCCATGCTGGAGATGGACAAAGAGAGACACAAATGAGCTGAGATGAAGAGAGAGGAAGGAGAGATCACGGCTGCTCGGAAAGATATATATCAAACTGTGGAGCTGGAAGCTTCCGGAGAACAAGAGCGCCATGGAAATGATGAAAGAAGAAAAAGAGGAAACGTACAGAAAAGTGGGCCAGATGGAGAAGGCGAAAGTTGGAAGAAGAACTGAGAGAGACAGAGGATAGCTGGTTGAGGAAATGCCTCAAGACGGATTTGAAGAACTTAAGTAAGAAGAAAAGAAGAACTTGGTTGATAACTGATCCTTTAAGAAAAAAAGATTTCCCGGACGCTAAATAGCAGCTCCAGATGGAAGAAAATTTGGAGCAAGCATGGGCCAAGGTGAACAATGAGAAACAGAAAGAACAATTTGCACTCATATTTCTCTCAATTTTCAATGAATCAATAAATGCCATGCATGCAAAGTTCCTTTTCTCAGCTGTCTTGTGAGATAATGAAGAAAGCTGACTTCTACTACACCTAAAGAACAGTGATTAATAAAGTTTTGTAATATAATAAGGAATCCAGTTAGTTCTACTTGAAGACAGCTCACTTAAAAGCTCCAAGAGCTCCCTATTTTTATGGTCTAACAGTGTCCATAAAAAGTATTTGCCGCAGTAGAGGAGCCAAGAGGTCATTTGAGCTGCTAGTGATGAAGCACCCCGGCAACAGTTATGGTATACACCGTATGCGATAGTGCTCAAGGGTGGCTGTATCCAGACCAGGTTTCTTGAGAATGGGAGAAGTTTTTAAGGGCAGTAGGGACATAACCTGAAATGACAGGGTCGGAGATAACTGAGAAGTGGGGTGGGGGCAGGATCAAGCTGATAGGTAGAAGCATTACATTTGGCAGTTAACTCAGAAATGTGCGCAGGTTGAACAGGAGAGAAAGCAGACAGAGATTTGACAGCTGACTGAGTTCTACTGCCCATCAGCTCATGTTAGCTTGCATTACAAGCATGTACCTTTACAGACAGTAAACTTTATATTCACTTTATGTTACTGTAGACAGAGGTTAAGAAGGTTGAGGAGAACTGTTGGTAGATTCTGC